TTTGAACGCGATGATAACTGGCTTTACGGTTAAGGTTGCAATGTCTCCAAGTGATGAGACTGAAGATGAAAGAAAGAAAGAAGACATGACACAGCCTAATTTCAAATAATAAATTTAACTGTCAAAAAAAGAATCTATTTTCAAAAATTATGCAATACTAACGAACACTTTACCTTCTTGTTTTATTAATATGGACTATTATTTTTTTTATTTTGGCCCCTTCTAAGTAACAACAATATATTTTATTTGCATCATTTATTGTAGTCACACGTTAGAAAACACACTGAACAAATAAATAGAAAAGATACATAGATTTATAACTAACACTTTATGGGATATTGTTACCGTCATTATCGCGAAGTAAAGATAACTGAAGCAAAAACTTTGTTGGTACCCTTTTTACAAAAATTACGCGAACGGAGGAGTTTGAAATTTGACACAATTAAAGTTTATATGAAGAATCACTATAGAAATATAAATATAACAGTAAATAAGTTATTTACATGTTATATGCATTATAAATAAATTAAATTAATAAAAAAATATTACACACACTACCACATCATTTGACACACAAAATACAGATATTTTTTTACGTACCTACATATTGACTGGGAGAGAATGCCTTAGGCATTAAGTTTAAATAAATAAATAATTAAATATTGTCCACGTCAAACACATACAACAGATTATTACAATCTGTTGTCAAACATTTGAACGGATTAAAAATTGTCTTTCACCAAAGAATTATTTCAGTGAATTATTGCCTGAACGAGTTTGGGGTGAAGAATAAGTCATTTTTTGATATATATTACGGTGGAATCGGAAACGATGGGCGCCCACTAGTTTTGTTTAATACTCGGTTTCACGCACAACGAAAATCCATCGGCGTACGCTCTTACACTTTCTCGCTAAAAAATAAAACTAGAATTCTTCAGACGCCGCCGATCTGTCGAGATGAAACGAAAGCGGGCAATTAAGCAGCGGACGATTTCAGGAAACAGAGTGCGACGGCCCGGAGTTTGCCTGAATTTTTAATTCGTCTGCCATTAATCGCGCTAGTTGGTCTAGTCTATGACTGCTCGCCGACTGTGCTATCCAAGGCCCGGGGCACTAATCCAATTGTAGCGTAGCTAAGCGTTAACTAGTTCAGTATACAAATAATGCCTAAGAAATAACAGCGGCGTCTGATAATCGTCATCTAATCGTCGCAACGGTCACGAGTCCGAGTGGTGTCGTTATTATTTCGTATTTTATTTCTTACACGGTAAAACCTGCTTCTTATAGTGATGTTAGTGCTTTCACGAACTTGGACACTTTTACAAAACGATCTGTTGTCCCAAACTACTAGATAACTGGTAAACATACTTAAACATACTTTTGTGTACATATCGTACCTATATAAACACCCAGACACTAGAAGAGCACTATGTTCATCACACAATATTTTTTCAGTAGTGGGGATCGAACTGTCACCCTCAAGCGCCGGAGGCAGGTATACTACCCATTCGGGTCGTCGATAAAGCTGGATCGGGCATAGAGCTCGTGGAAATGCTGGGTGCGAAATTTGAATAGGTCATGGACATCCGTGGAGTCCGGAATACTTTTATCTCCTTCCTGTGGATTTAGATGATTTCGGCTCACTCGAAGATCGTTTGATCGCCTATCTTCGAAAGTGTACAAGAGTAAAATCTGCTCGTACGAGAGATTAGTCGAGAGGATAGGACTTAAGTTTGAAAGATGATAAATTAAGTTCGTGAGAAACAAAGTTGTATCTATCTAACATCATTGTGCACTTGTATATTGTTCTAATAACATGATGTTTTAAACAGTAGCAGATATCTGGCACTGTTTAAAACTCTACCATTCTAACATGAAAAATTCTATATAGATTTGAAACGCGGACTCGCGGTCCTAGGAAATTCGGGTAGATCCATATCTGCATTGACCCAGACATGCTCAAAGAGATAGTTAGCAGTAATCATATTCTTTTAAACATCATTACTGCTCAAGGACCGTAAATATTAACTAGGTATATATATATATATATATATATATATATATATATATATATATATATATCTATATATATATATATATATATATATATATATATAGATACAGTAGTTTGTAAGAGTAACGCTCTTACAAAATACTGTATCTCTATATATACAGTCAATTTGCGTTAGCGTACACCACACGAAATCTGTTAGTTAAACAGTTTCGTCTATTCGTGCTACGTTATTTCTTTGTTCGACAAAGATTCTGAAGGCTTACCTTCTTAAATGACCTTTTCTATCGGTTATGCTGAGATTCGAGCCAGCGAGCCTCGCTCTCCTTTTTTCACTGGGAAAGTGCACGAGTTGGGTTTTCCGAGGCGGTTAATTATACATATTTAACATTAATCATTGCGGTTCTCGATTCGCTCGCACTCAAAGTTGTTTAATACGAAACTGCGGCGTCGTTTACTTTCACTCTTTCGTTGATATATTCAATCTCGCTAAATGCTGTAATGGGCCGTGGTTCTGGTGTCATTGGTACGACCATTGCTCACTTCAAGCTTCGTAATCTTGCTTGCAAAAATCATTGTCTCTTACTCCTGTTGGATTTACACGGAATCATTGTCACGCTGGGCAGGGGTGTGCCATACAGGTACATTATTATTACGAACAAAACAAAATCGAATTCGAATATCTCACTTACTATTTATTTTTATTTGATTTTGAGTTCTCCGATGCATCACCGGAGTCCAAGGCCCAATAGTTGAGAAACTCCTCCTTTTAGTCGGTTCCTTGTTATCGGTTGCAAAAAGCTATTTGTTATCTCTGTCCATTGTTTTCCGGTTAATTTCGCTGGGGAGGATATTCTGTGGTTATTCTCTTTTATTTCTAAGAATGAGAAAAAATTACATAAAGATAAGCCTTAAGTATCCAGCAAAAAAGTGCAACAAACTTTTCGCCGTACGGAAAGCTGTGATAATAAAGAAAGTAATATTTTCCCATAAGTTCTTCAAGAAAAAAATAAAATAAATTTGACTCACTACAAATTAGACTACATCTATTCTTCCTTTCCTTAATAATATATTCTTCTTTGGAATGCAGTTCCTTTTAAAATTAGCTCTATCGATCATTACTTATTTAATATTAAGTAGGTTCTGAAACTATTTCTTAATAAATTTGCAGAGCTATCGCGTTTTAAGTTAATATATTTAAAAAAAAAAAGGAAACAATAAAAGTGTACCAATGTTATTGGTACACTTTTATTGATTGTCACGGAAAAGTATGCTGCAGACAAAAACTATGACCTTGATGCACAAACGGTTTCACCGGCTGATTTCGTAACCGACACAGTAAGACTTGGAGCGTTATTTAGGAGCCAGCAGGACTGATTGATAAAGAAAACAACATAACCACTAATACAGATGCAGCTTCTTCTGACTGATAAGAAAACAATAATTAAGAATGAGGATGAATAAGTATTTTGCATGTTTATAGTGAAGAAGTGATGGGTATCAGAGATTTTTTTATCTGAATAAGAATACGAGATATTTTATCTTGAACTGGCTAGAGATTGATTTCCTGATCCCCCTGATAAATGAAGCCGTAAAACAGGAATGAATGAGTACAAGTTTTTTATTTATGTGAGTTTGAAAACAAAGGTTGTCAAAAAGGTTGTCAACGCATCTGCAAAACCCTCGGGTGTAGCAGATGTCCATGGGCGGCGGTATTCACTTAACTTCAAGTGAACCGTCTGCTCGTTTGTCTACTTTTCACATAAAAAAGGTGGTTCACCTGGTGTTAAGAGATTACCGCCGCCTATGGATATTAGCACACCCGCAACCGTCAACAGTTGCTCGTGCAATAGCGAAGGCTGTTGTGTGGCCCTACCATATTTAATTGCATGTAGGGGAAATAAAAACAAAATAAATTATTGTACATTATTATTATTTACATTGTCAAAATTGATTCCAGGCGACTTATGGGTTTTACCAAAAATGTTAATGGCAAAAGTAATCAAAGTAGTAAAAGAACGATGACTCGTGATTTGAACACGTTATATTTGAAGCCACGTGTGCTTACAATTCGTCTTTAGTATCCTCGTAGCAAATAAGTGGTCAAGGTCCGTTACAAGAACCTATGTCAGCACCAGATAAATTACACGTTATTGAACAATGACAAATGTAGTATTTAGAAGTCTGTATCTATTAGTATTACAAGGCACGAATAGAACCTAGTAATCAAAAAATAAACTTGTTCCAGCATGGATTCTAAGATCTACGGAAGTTATAGAGATCTCTAGAACTTAGATGAAGTTTTAATTTTAAAGCCTAAGTTTTTTGCCGAAAAAGATACTTACAGAGTTTCTTTCGCCTGTTTCTTCTCCGTTAGAGGAACTGCATTATGAAACGGTGGTAGATTTAGAAAAAATATGTTATCGAGAGATGAAATGCATGTTTATTATTTCGATGAATCATTGATTTGATTTTTTTATTTTGATTTTGAATCTCACAAAAAATCTCACCAATGGGTTACCGGCAATGCTAGTCGCATATGACTCGTGCCAATACTTGACTTAGGGCAATCAGGTCGTTTGTATTCAAACGTAATCATTTAATAGAGCGGATCGTTTGGCAACCGCTCGACTGGACCCACGTCCACCCATTATAGTTATTAGCACATACATATCCGTTCTCTGGCGGCAAGCGCATTCTGTTATTAACATGTGAAATGATCTGGAACTAAGAATTTACATCACTGGCATCAGTATTAAGATGGACGCAGACTCATCTGGTCGTCTGTCATTTTTGATTCGATCTCCATAAACCGATAAATCGTCAAATATTTATTTACTGCGACCTTTCACAAAACGTGTTTACAGTTTATTTATAATATGTATTAATGTAACTAAAATGTTGCTCTGAAGTTTCAATATCAATTTGTATCAATGAATGAGTATGTCATTATGTTTGTTATTACTATTTCAAGTGACATTTAGTGCGAATGGTTTTATGTAAGTTCCGTGACACATTTATAAGTGCATATAATTTGCTTTATACTAAAGACCAAGAAGACAACAATTTGGTTATAGTTTGCGTGTAAGAACTGAGGGATAGTCCTTATCTCAGTAAAACTTAATATTTGTATGTACATTATAAATACGTATCGAATTGAAAATAGAAAAATGTAGTTTGGTATATTGAAAATTTATTCCTTACTTAATTATTGACTCATTAGATTGCGCTCATTACGGAATGCGTCGTAAAAACGAGCGCGTCGCATCAAACAGAGCGAACTTCACCCGAGCCGCATCGCCGTTTCATTGATCGCTCACATGAACGCAAACCTTGGCCGTTCGCGAACCGAGCGGCGTCCATTTGTATCTTAGCCCCGTATTAAGCAACCGAAGGCGTCCTCCGCGCTTTGTCTGAACGAGGGGATTCAGAAAAGCCGCTCGCGCCCGCGTCGCGGCTTTCACCGTCCCCCACCCCTTAACCGGGCCGTGTTGCAGCGGGGCGGCGCGGCTCGGCGGCGTCCGCAGACGACGAGCGACCGCGCGCGCCCAACCTCGTGAACAGACAGCCCGCGCTGCCATTCGTGCCGCCGGCGTTCCCCCACAACGCGCCCGACCGCCTCATTAAACCCTCGGAGTACCTGCGCACCATCACGGCGCCCTGCAAGCGGGACGAGGGCGCGGCGGAGGCCCGGCCGCCGCCGCCGCCGCCCGCCCCCCCCCCGAGGGCATACCGCCGCCCCCGCCCCAGCCGCCCACAACCATGCACCAGCCGCTCGCCGCCATCAGCAGCGCCGAGCTCTCCGCCGTCCGGTTGAGAGCCCCCGCGGCCAAGACCCTCTCCGCCCCCGCGCGCTCCGTCAGCCTCCAGTGCCTGCCCAGCGCGGCGGACTTCAAGAGCGCGAAGACGGACCTCATCGAGGAGCTCAAGATGTCGAAGGACATCACCGGAATAAAGAAGCTGAAGGTGGAGCGCGCGAGACGCGAGAGCCTCCAGGACAAGGAGACCTTCACGGAGTTCACGAAGCGCTTCACCGCCGACAACTTCGTAGATCAGGTAAGTGGTCGATCGGTGATCACTTTTTCAATATCATCTGTAGAGCGAAATATATCTGAAAGCCTATTCCCATCTCTTACTTTTGGACGTAAAACTCAAAGAGTTCAATGGAACTATCTGTGTAACTTTCCATTCTGCGAATTTCTACAATTGTAAACGTTATCTGATCGGAATGAATGCTTCGAAGGCGAAATTCTTGGAGACAATGTTATCGGACGAGTTGCGACATCGCGGCGGCCGTAATAGGGTTCACAGTTACAAACAACTGCGGTTGCATCCCGTCCTACCGTGTCTAACCCACTGATCCACTTTTCGCAGCTATCTCTGCGAACGCTCCGTCTAATGTCTAACGTCCGTGAAACGACGTGACTGGCGTTTTGAGGCGACGCGTTTGCGTCTTGTAGATCTCTTCAGCGACGCTCTCGCTGTTAAGAGATATTTTTATTGACTTATTAATTACGCGATGTCATTTTATATCAGGTTTCGCACGTACGTGTATTACACTCGTAATGTAGCGTACACTTTGGTGTTTGCTTTGTATTAGCTTTCAGCTTAAGAACCTTTCATACGCTTCGTATCCTTTGATGATTTCGAGTTTGGGAGTAATGAGCTAGTCGAAACATAGACAACACTAATAACTACGTATATTTTTTCGTGTAGTTAAAAAAACCCTTTGTGAGAGTAATAATTGTGTTTTGTAACTTCAAAAAAGGAGGAGGTCTCTCAATTCGACCGGAATATATTTTAATTTTTTTTATGTGTCATCATCATCATCATCATTTCAGCCTGTTTGAGTCCACTGCTGAACATAGGCCTCCCCCTTTTATGTGTGTTCGTGGATAACTTCGTCGTTCGATAAGGAAATCCGGATCTGATGTTGGCATCCCAGAGAAATCGAGGGCCAACTTTTAATGTTATAGGTTGTTAATAACTTTTGTAAATGTTTTTAATTTTCTGATTGAAGTCGTTTTTTTTTTTGTTAAATATTATACTTGTTTTGTTATTTAAACGCACAGGAAATACAGTTAAAGTAATTTAATAATGTAGTGCACTTTAGTTGCAAGCATTGTTCCAAGAGGCAGAAATACTAAAATAATACTTAGTTCTCGGATCGATATACGCAGTTATGTATCATATAATGCCTATTTTTTTATCACTATCCTAACACTATGAAATTGTTTGCTTATAAAACTTATTCATACGATATCAATATAACAATGATTGATCGATCGATTACATTACGTGATAACTATATCCTGTGCCAGAAAATTCTTTTCCTTTTCAACATTCTTTATCCTATGTAAATATAGATAAAATTATAATATAAATCCCCAACATAATAATAAAAATTTTTACACAATGTTCTCTAGTCAACTAAGCAATTTCGCTTGTATTATGGGTACTAGAAAACTGATAAACATGCCTAAACGCACTTTTCTCTGGAAAAACACTATGTTTATCACACAATATTTTTCCAGTAGTGGGAACCCACACTCTCTGGTGCAAGAGGCAGGTTCACTACTCCCAACGCCATTTTGGTCGTCGTAATAATTATGTACATCATTAAAATTGCACGAGGTATAAATGTTGATTATTACTTTTACCATCGTTAAATAAAACTCGCATTAATACGATAAATTATTGTATTATGTTTTAACTCCATAAATCTGTTAGGTTACATACAGAAGAGCAAAGATTTTAAAGAAACATCTAAAATAAAGCATTCATTGCTCATTGTAAAAGTAAATCGCTGATGCTGCGAAGTTGATTATTACAGATGCAAAATAAAACAAGCATACAATGATATGTGGGTTAGTGCACTATTTTATGTTCACGTGGAACCTGCTCAGTTTTATTAAAATCTTTAAATAAATAGCATTTTACAAAATGGGCCGGTTTTCTTATCCTAAAAGATATTTATAGAGAAGAGGTAAATTGTTCACCATGTGTTCGACAACGCATCCCGTTCGAGCCGGGGTGCCCCAAGGGTCGGTGTTGGGCCCAGTCTTGTTCACGCTCTACACCAATGACATGCCGCGTGTCAAAGATGTAGAACTTGCCTTTTTTGCCGACGACACCTGTCTCTTTACCACAGGCTGAACACCAGAATTAATCTATCGACGCCTTCTAAGCTATGGCCATCACCATCGTATACTGGTTTCGGCAATGGAGGATCGAGATTAATCCCGCCACAAGCGCGGACGTCCTTTTCCCACATAAAAATAATGTAACTAATCCACCCCCCGTTAAACTCATGGACAGCCCAGTACCATAGGTTAATAACGTCAAATATCTAGCCGTCGTCCTCGACTCCCAGCTTAAATTCACCCAGCACGTGACCCAGGTCAGGAACCGGGCGGCCTGCGTGCTCGGTCGCCCAGACTTGCCCACCATCGCTCAAGTCCTGTTCCTGAAGTCGGCGTCGCGCCGGTACTTCGATTCCGCCACCGCGCACCCCAACCCGCTAATCGTAGGTGTCGTCACCTACAGACCCTGACCGCTAAACACGTTCCGCCGCGACTACCGCAGACCGCGAAATGTTCTCGACTTCCCTGACGATGAGACGACTATCGCGATCGAAGGAATCAAAAAACTTAGAAAGCACACCAACACACACCGCATTCGCCGACGAGTGCGGCAAACATATACTAGGTGCCGCCACGTACCTGGCAGGTTTTCCCCCATTAATGATAGAAGCGTTGCTGGAGTTTCTTCCGCCACTTCTTCTCCCAGCGCCAACGCTTTCCAAAGTGGTAGTAATGTTAGATCTAGAAATTCCCCCAGCCAGATAATAGCTACCGATCGAGCCGAAGTCCGGCCTTCTCGGGCACCCTCGAATCGGAATGCTAAACGGGTGTTGAGTGACAGCCCAAGTCGAGGTTCCCTCTCGGAAACCCTTGAATCTGATCACTCCATGGAGCGCCCCCCAAAGCGCCCTAAGAGCTTGGCGGCCTCCCAAACAGGTGATAATAATAGCGTGACTTCCCGAGCCGAGGCTCCCTCGGGAGCCCACGAGCTTAGTCACCATAACGCGTCATAATCATACGCCGAGGTTCAGGCTAGGCGTTCCGTGCGCCAGGCCACCTCAAGCCCGTCGGATCTGTGAAGGCCCCTAAGTGGCTCATTCAGCCCAAAAAAAAAAATTGTTCACCACCGCTATAAGTAGGTCCGATTTTTAATTCTCCTTACACCGAGGCAATGCTTCAACGCTTATGTAATGAGACGTCCAGAATCGTGCGTATTTCTATACGAAACATTAAAGACTACGTAAATCACCTTTCATTGTTGTAACGGGGAGAAAGTCTTGGTCCGTTGAGTTTCATCTCGTGTTCTGAACCATTTTAAGCCGGTTTTAGTATTGCCACAGTCATGATATGTCTTAATGATTACCAGCCGTACTGGATTATGTTGAATGCTATAACACGTCCATAAAAACACATGAAATGTCTCGTTTAGAAAGACTCTATTCTCAGAAACGGAGAAACGGTTTACTTAGTTGGCGCAAAAAAAAAAAATGGAATCATTAATTATCGTAAAAAACGAATGAAAACTATACTCGACCATTATACGATTAATAATATTTATTGCATCCGCGTTGCGTTGGCGTTACGAGAAAGAGCTGTTGCCTTTTCGCACGAATAATTTCTTTTCACACACTTTATGACGTTTGGATCTCGCTGTTATTTTTATGTTATCTCAAACGTTAATTATATTAAAACTAACAATATACTTCCTGAATATTTATTGTTTTTCAGTATGTTCTACGGGAGGAAATTTCGATCTAATCTTGGAATAAGTGTAATATTTTTTTGGGTACATGTTTGTGTGATTGTATGTCTGTCACATTGCTAGCTCTGTAATATTAACAGCTTAATGAAAATCAACATATTTGAGGTGTGATTTCTATTCGTCTCATTTATAAGAGCATAATGAGCTGTAATATTTATAGGCTTTCCAGTTATAATTTGTTTTAATTGTATGACGTAACGTTACTTTTTAATAAACTAGTGTATTATCACCCGAGCTTGAATAATCGATAAGATGGTATAAAGATTCCCATGTCTCTCTCGGACACGCCTCATCACTAATGTTGGCAGCAATTGCTAGCCGTTTTGTTATAGAAGGGTTGACCCAATACGCATTTGTTTTAGTCACATTTTTCTTCATGCTATCTCGGACTCCCCATCACTAATGTTGGCAGCAATTGCCAGCCGTGTTTCTGCAGTTAGGTTGGCCCAGTGCAACGTGCACTGGGCATGGGTCTGTTTCAGACAGACTTTTCTCGCGCGATAAATTCTTGCATCTCTTTGCGACGCGAAAACGCGTGTATTTCACAAGTCGCACTTTCTCCGTCCCACTGCGGGTCCATCGAGGCGTCAAATTGTGTCATTTCGTTCTATTACCCACTTATTATGCAACGATCAATTTCATATTGGCTCGTCGATCGCAATATCTGAATGAGTTAATGCATCCGTTGCCGAATTTATGCAACATAATGGTTCCGTGTAATGGAAAAATCATTCGGTGTGGTCGTTGGTCGTTTTAAATTTACCGCTTTTGTTATGAATGAGGAAATAAGGAAACGGTGGCCTGTTGACCTGTGATATCATCTCAAGAGAGTTCAAATCGAATCGCGCTTCACGACCGGACACTACGTGCTCAGGGCCGGATTTAGGGGAGCGCAACCGGGGCAACAGCCCCGGGGCCTCCACAGACGAGGGCCCCCACAATAGAGACTTCGGAAAAAAAATTCTCTTTCGGACTACTTAGTAAATAATAGTAAACAACTTTTCCTTTCATATTTTTATTTGCGTTTTACTTTTAACTGCAGTACTTTGTACAAACATGATTACATTAAATATTAACGAAATACAGTAGAAAATAATTTGGGGGCAGGGGCCTCCACTCCTTTGTTGCCCCGAGGCATATTTGAGGCAAATTTGTACGTGTTCTATTGCGTTCTCCATATTCTCCACATTTTTGATCCCTTATAAGTCGATGGATGCAAGTGGCTCGAAATCGTGCCTTTCTTCTGCTATGCACTAGAATATGCTGAAATGATGACGATTGTTACGTGCGTTATCATCATCAAGTGTGCCAAACGTATTGATGTTATGTCAATATTATTTAGTTGTATAAATTCGACTGTAATATATTCAGCATATACTTAATTAGTGTTTAACGGCACGAGCGGTTCAATTGTTATGTATGTATATTTAAATTGTGTAAGTATAATTTTTCATTTGAAAATGAATAAGCAAATTATACTTTCTTCTTTATGTGATTTATCATTGCGCCTCTCACTTTGTGCGCCGGCGGCGGTCTTAAAAACTTCCTTATTCAAAATTAAGCGATCTCGAGCAATATTAATTATAAACGTCGAAAACATCGTAAAAATTAATGGAAGCGCGTCTGGAGATCGAGTGAACACGACCGAGTTACGATCTCTCCTTTCGTGGCCATTAAATACGAAATTTCGACTAATTAACACGTGGTTACGTCCCTCCGAATTTATCGATAATAGACCTCGCGAACGTTTTCATGCGAAAGTTGTTTTTTTGTCGCGCTAATAAAGCTAAGATTTTTTTACTTTTTCTTTTGTTAAAACTGTATTCCGCAATAGCCATCTGTTTCCGCGCTTTCTCTAATTTCTGACGCCCTGGTAGGCGCTTCGAGTATATCTTTTATATGAATGACTAATATAGTCATTTACTAATAATATTCGCTTAGACATCTTTCATGACTTTCCCCTAGGCCTTGTGGTTGGAGATTCTCTTATCTTTTCTTTATATCTTTATTCGGTCCTTACACATTGTAAGGATAGCACCGTGCCTTATAACGAGTTTTTTTTTTGTTATAAGGTACTTTTTTATGATATATGGTGTGCACTAATGTGGCTTTATAAGATTTGGAATCTGGGAAGATTAGTGAAATGTCATTGTCCAATTCGTCATGTTTAAATACATGACAGTAGACCTTCATTTTCAGATTAAAACTGTATTACGTCACATTTTTCACGTAAAGATTAAAATAATTACAAAACGTAATATAATTTTTGTATGCGCATTGTATAACAATAAGACAATGGTCGTGTTCCATATCTTTTTGTTTGGAATGAGGACACTTCCTCATATAAAGAAGTGATAAATAATAAGCGCAGTTGCTAAGTTATTGGCTAAGGCCGAGGATCTACAGTTCGATTCTCACACGAGACAAGAATAGGACGTAGGGTTTTTCTTACCCGATGGTAGTTAATTACCGTCACCTTTAGAGGTTGGGGCTTGATAATTTCAATCATCAAGCGTAATGCAAATACTAGGTACTTCTAATTTATGTTATTTTCCATCTTAGTTTGAATAATTCATACAACAGGTCAAGCTGCAATCCTACACCGCAATATAACTCTCGACTAAGAGAAGACTATTTATTTTTAACTTAAATTGAAACAGTCAACTTGTGGTGCTTGTAATCCCGACCAGCACCGACCGTTGTCTTAAACGACGTTCTGCCAAATGTCAAAATGACATACATACAAGTCCTGCATGCAAATAAAACTACTATCTAAATAACTCTAGGACACTATGGAGACGATGTATAGAATTTACCAATACTCTCATGTTCGCTCAATAATGTTGGCGGCGTTATGATAAAAACCTACTGTCGTTAAAGTAAAAGTGAAACCGCTGAATGACATCCGAAATTTCAGTGACCATCAGCTCTTCAATATTTGACGCTTTCTCATATATAAGAGTCTTCGATAACTGGATCAACAAAATCATGCACTCATACTGATGTATCGCGTCGCGTCGGTTTAGCGTTAAAAACGAGTTCCGTATCAATTCCGTATATATAATCTGTTCCGTATCAATATAATGATATCGTATTTCTATTATCGCTAAATAGGTTTTGAATAGTGTTGTACAGCGTAAAGGCCCATTTACACGATGCCATTTATATTTTAGACCATTTCTTGTTTAACTGCCAGTTTATTGCATTTAATAGGCGATAAAGTTGGCATGAAATGGGCTAGAACATCAATAATTTGTGCGATAAGTTTACATGACTAGAACATCAATAAATTTGTGCACATAAACATAAAATCCAGCTTTTCCGCTGTCTGGGTATCCCCGATTCGCTTATCGTTTATCGCGCGGTATTGAAAATTTCTCTTGTGAAATTGTGAGAAAGACCTTCATACTTGAACTTAGGTCGGAGAAAAACATCTTAATGTTCAATAGCACGCTACATTTGTTCTGGCTGAATCGCTGTCGTCCGACGCGAATGAATAGAATAGATAATAAAAGTTCATTATGTTCATTTTCGAACCATTGAAATTACTCCACTCTTTAAACCTAACGTTAGAAAGAGATACCTAGTATCGATGTGTGAACTTATTTTCTACACAGCAGAAACATACGTAAAACATATTTCTTATTCGTATTTTTGCATTACGTGGGTGTTGTGGGTGTCTATAGGTGGTGGTAAATCCATTTAGTTTATTTATATATTTTATTGGAGACAAAGAGGATAAAAAATAAAAAAATATAAAATTAACATAAAGCGTGCTGATATTTACAGTTATTTATTGCTAGGACATTTACAGTAGACATGGTTATCGAGGACACAACTTAATAAACATTATAACAAAGCAGAAAAAAGTACAAGTTTTTCATTGCTTAACAGAATAACTAGTTTTCTGTTTTCGAAACCCATTAAGAGAAAAGTGATATGAGAACGTATATGTTTAAATTCCACACTTCCTTCAAAGATTGTTGCAATGTCTACGACTTACGTTAAACGTCACGGATTTTCTTTGCTTGGAAACGGCTATGTTCGTTTTAATTTTGGAATGTACTACACGGCTGTATTAACTGTGCTCGTCTAAAGCCGTGTTTTCATCTCGTTTAACGTTATTATAGTATCCTGCTTTATAACGGTACATTAAGAGTATGATTGTCTTGAGGTAGAAATCTCAATCAAACCCCATTGACGAACTCTTTGACTTTGTTTTGTGTAGGTCTGCCGCTTAATGTAGCTCTCCCTTCATCCTAGGGATTTAATTAATCTAAACGATACCTTTATCTAATCAGAGGTCTATTAGTGACGCGTGAAATTAATTCTCACGCCCCCATCACAACGAATACTTTATCTATGAACTCCCAAGTTATTGGGACTTTTAAAAATCTAGATCTAACGGTCTACCTAACTGACCGGCGCGTTACAACGGAATTTTGTAGTGTATTATCGCGCATACACAGTGTAATAAATTCGCAACAGTGGCATTTTTCCACCGGCTGGATTCACCATCCGATAGCAAGGAATCCGTTAAGCTGTGTCACGGTCAATGCGACCGCTCGCGTGTTATGTAACTAATGCGCCGGCGAACGGTAAAACGTCGCCGATAAATAACTCGCTCCTACGAAAAAAGCGGGCTGTTCTAGAACAGGAACGGAGCTGTTTACGATCCAATCAATCCGCAATTTCTCTAGTTAGTGATCTTACGTAAATAATAGTTGCCGCTGCGAATTTAATTGAGCGACGCTTAGCTCGTTATGTGCGGGAATTCTTAATCCGTTAATACAATTCTTGTTAGTTTAGTGTAGTAATTAGTATAGTGCGTTGATTGGTTAGAACTCATTAGTCTCATGTATGCAAGGCTGTTCCCAATTGTATCACTCATTCAATATTTTTGCAATATTTAAAATTTATTTTCCAAAATAACAAAACTAAAGTCGATATTTTTACCGCAAGTTAGAATGTAGGTATTGTGATTAAAATTATTACACGCACATTTAATTCCCTGTATTATCTAACCTAGTGAAAGGCATAAGCGTTCATAATATTGATTGGATGATTGTTATTTTATAACGTGAATATAGTTTATAAAATGATTCTAATATTATTTGTACACGCTTTAACGAATGCTCAATTATTCACGTCATGAACTATCACGAGATGTTCTCAACTTCGTTGTTACTCACGTATATATTATGTAAATACCTGACCGGATTAAATAATAATATAAATTCCCTTCGAAGTATTCATGATCGTTTCCAGTCTATCATAAATGCATAGAAAAGCACAAATTAACACGTGTCGCTCACGAGGGATTAGTATTAACCAATGACAAGTTACGATTCGCACGTGATCGTCGAAACGTCATTGGTATTAGCCAATGAGAAGACACGATTCACGCGTGACAGCCGCGACCCCTCAGTATTAACCAATGAGAAGGCACAGACGCTAGCGCTGATGTCCCTCCTCTGGTATACCAGAGCACGGGCATGCGTTCAAGGCGTGGCGGTTGGTCGACGGTAGGGATGTCCGCAGGTTCCGGAGCGCGACGCGGCCGGGAACGTGATCCCGGCGTGGAAGAGGCAGATGCTAGCGCGCCGGGCGGCTGAGAAGGCGCGCCGGGATTTGGAACGAGAACTGGCGGGAGAGGCTGAGAGGAGGCGCGCGGCCGCCGTGCCCGCGTGGAAACGGCAGCTGCTGCAGAGGAGGGAGGAAGCAGAGAACCGCTTGAGGTGAGAGATCCGTTTTCTATAATGGTGGCCACGCAGCAACTTCTGCTATTGCACTAATGTGCAGTCTCGTTCGGGTAGGTACAGTCTCACACAGTGACTGGACTACAGAGTCCAGCGTGGAAGTATTATATTTTCTGGTAAATGATAACCCGAGTCTGCCTTTCTAAGGCAGTCATCGCATCTACAAGTGACAAATTTTCACGTAAAAACAGTTATTCATTTAAAGATCCAGTCGATGGAAATCTACGCTAGAGTGGGTACATTAGGCGACTGGAATGGACAAAGAATTAGTACTACTAGGACTTTACTTATTTTCTCGTTCATAATCTTTAACTCTCTTGCAACTCTTTCGTAATCTCTTCGGGTGTATAAACAATTTAGCTAGTGGCCTTGTGCCTACGGACAGACGATTTGAGTTCGTTGGTTCCAGAGGGTTAGGTTTCGATCCCCACCACTGGAGAAATATTATGTGATGGTCAGTGTTTTTCTAGGTGCTTATGTTTCTATAATGTGTATTTTAAGTATGTCTCAGTCGCCCCGTACCCATAGTACAAGCGTTGCCTAGTTGGAGACTAGATGACGTTGTGTGAAAATTATTAGTGACGACAAGACGACGTTTCAGGCAATCGCTGTACACACCGAAGGTGGAGGACGGCGGGGCGAGCAGCGAATGGCGCTCGTACCCGAGCGGCGCCACTCGCGCGGTGTCCATAGACAACATATCACTGTGTTACGACACGCCCGTCCAGCACTCGCGCGCCCCCTCAGAGGTCAAGCTGGCCTCGGAACACTGCAACGGTGCGTACCACCGCAAATCAAGATGCATCAAGCCCAACCACTGTAACAGTCCGTACCGCCACATAGTGGGGTAGTTACCATCAAGTGATTAATTGAACCCCCGATATCACGATGCAACAATCCACGCTTTGAGGCACTTCGGCGGGTTGAAAGCTTACCATCACTAACTACATCGCATGGTAGCCAAGCACCGGTCAGTTTTTGAGCAATAAATGCAACATTCGCAGCACATGTGTACTATATTTTTTTACTGTGGTACGGCCACGCAACAGATAATGCTGTTGCACGAATGGGCAGGCACATCCTGGGAAGTACAGTACCACGTCCTCATACAAGACCGTCGGGAAGTGGAAGTATTAGACTTTCGCCTTCGCTCTCGTAAGGGCCTCAGTTACCTCACTCGTGTTTGGGCAAATGAGGTAATCGAGGCCCACTTTTTTAAATGCATCTGCAATCCATCGGACGTTGTAGATGTCCATGGGCGGCGGTACTCACTGTACTTTTTTATGTCAAAAGTATTCAAGCGACCAGCATGCTCGCTTGAATACTTTTGACATAAAAAAAAAAATTATGTTAAGTCTTCACTTCAGTTATGATGGACGGTGACACAACGTGATGGGCTAGAAGTAGATGATACCTTCCACACCGAAATTCTTGGGATGACAAGCGTTTACTAATCCGTAAAATGCATTGACGAATTTACAAATAACTTGAGTTCTCGGTGGAGGCGGATAACTCGGTGGTGCCGTTGCTAAGGTATTGGCTTCGCCGTCGGGGGTGGTGGGTTCGAATCCCAAAGGGGACAAGTGTTTGTGTGACCCACAGATAATTGTTCCGGATCTGGGTGATTGTTTCCCAACGAGGGTTAACGGCAGGCAGGCGGCCGGTCGTAAAAAACGTAGCCAAAACCGCTTACAACATGATTCACATGTTGTGTCGACCCCAAGGGCAGAAGATGATAATGATGATTTACTTGAGGAATTCTCACAGCAGTTCTATAGTTGACACCATTGGCTTTCTTGATTCCGTCAGAAATTGTGTCAGCTCTTAACCAATTTACAGGTCACTCCACAACGAACGGCAAGCACGTCGACGAAGAGGAAGAAAGCGCAAAGATCATTCCGTGGCGGGCGCAGCTCCGCAAAACTAACAGCAAGCTCAATCTACTCGAATAGTTATGTTCTAATAGTTAAGGTCCAATGTTGCATGATAAAGAATATGAGGCATGGGCGCCATAAACCTTTGTTTATTGCAAGTCGAAAAGATCGTATGATGTTTAGAATTAAATCTGCCACAGCAGCAGTTTCGAACTGGCGACATAGTCTTTCTAGTAATCACTTATGTAGCGGTAGTCATGAGTTTGTTTTGATATTTCAGTCGATTTAGTAGTTAATCGATTTTGTTCCCTTCGTAATAAGATTATGATATATAAATTTTCATACTTTAGAGACATCTAACGTATAGAAATTTAATTGTAAATTTTGGAATTAACTTCGAGGCTACTCATACAAAGATCTTTATTCTTTCTATGTAGTTATAATGAATTGTAGTACTTATGTATAAATGTAAAGTTACGTAATTCTTATCTAATGAGACTATTTAATTGAATTTGCTGATAAATAGAGATGTAATTTGAGAAGGAATCTTTGTTTTTGTAATGTTTAATGAATGATATTTATTTAGATTTTTTTTAATTCACGCAGTGATACAATTGTTGCAATATTAGTTTTAAGCTTACTAGTGGGCTTTTGCAATTTTGTACGACCTACTTTTTTATACGTTTTTTTACCTAATTAACTGATTACGGTGTGTTACTCTATGGTTGTCAATCGATTGTACTCGTATTGTTAATAAAAACACTGTTGCTTATGGTTTCGCTTCTTTCAATTCTTGTATCCTTATAGCGTAAAATATACACATAATATTATCTTGTATGGATATGTGTCTGATACAAAAAAATCGAAATACCTTACAGGGAGGCTTTTTAAGTGTATCCATTTTTTATTAAATTATAGACATAAATAAAGTTATATAAAAATGATAAATATTTAAAATAACTAAAAATAAATACATTCATTTTAACTTATCTCAAAAAGTGCGTGATTTATGGGCAACTCATTCATTTTACGCGCGATCATTCATAACTAACACGCTTGCACATAAGTTCGTTTCAAAAGTATACGACGCATTTATGAATGACTACCCCATTGTCAACAAGTTCTGTTTTTAGGGAATGGAATGGCAAGTTTTTGAAAAAAAAAAAAAGTTCGTTTTTATTTCAATAAACGATTATACTATCGAGTCTGAACCTCGTGTGTGAATTTGGGAACCTTTAAAAAAGCCACCCTGTATATAAAACAAACATTTCATGATACTAAATGACAAAGATACGTAAACATATATTAAGAAATACATCTTTAGTAATTCAAACATATTGTAGATATTTCCAAATACTAGACAAAAATTATGTTCATCCCACAGTTCAGTCTGGATTGAACCCACACACTCTGGCTTAAAGAGAGGTCTCTATCCACTACGCCAATTGGATCATTGAAAATTGTATATATTGCTAATTGGTCTTGCAACGGCTTTGCAAATAACCAGTAATATGCCGCCAGGGACGCAGTGTCTTCCTAATAAAACCTACAAAATATGTGCTCAAAAAAAAAAAAAAAGAAAGTTCTATTTTAATAAAATATAGCCGGACTGTTTAACCCTTAGATAATTTTAATTATCGGTATTTTTCAACCGATCTATTGGTTCCAGTGTTTTATATCGTACAAGAAAAAAAAAAAACAAATATCTATTTAATACTTACGCCATAAAATATAGGTCCATATCTAGAGCGAAAACATTGTCGCTATGAAAATACATAGGTTCTGAAGTAATAAAATCGTTGATAAAACTAGATGCAAAACTATAAAATATTATTGAAAAATGGATGTATTATAATATTTTATACTGATAACAATATTCTTACTCTTAACGTAAGCAACCTTGAGAAATGTTCGAAAGAATTGCAAATAAAAAATCTGGCCCCTAATTAGGAATGATTCGTTTTCCTATACTGCTGTTGGAAGGTAAATATTGGAAATGGAATAATCAGTATTTCGGCGACGGTCAAACGTTTCATCTTATTGTACATTTTTAAGCGAATTTCGAATCTATTTATGCTTCACTTGCATTTTTTATTATTTCAATTGATTTATTTGACATAAATATGATATTAATAAATTATGATCATACCGCATTCTTAATTTTCTATTACTTAAACCGACCGTGAATAAGAAAGCATTCGGCGAGTGATGTTTTACGGTGTTTCGTATGTGCGAAAATTGGGGACAAAACATAAATACCGCTGATTCTTCTGGTTCAGAACTAATGTCATATTGCGTTTACAACTAAATTGAGAGCAGCGTATGAATGACCAAATAGAAAATGCTGTTTCGTAACACGCTCATTTCATTCACGGCAACAAAACGATTGAGACATGCCTAAGTTTTACCACTATTAATGGCAGTAGCCAGTATACGTACAGAAAATGTCCAAGTAGGTATTACATAGATTAAAACTTACCACTACATTTCAGCACTCGTCTTCTCTTGGTCATACGCGACAGCCGCCGAGGTGAACCTAGACGCGATAGTCGCCAACGTGTCCAGTTCGTCAATATTCGGAGTTCTGCTGGAGAAATTCCTCGATGCGGGGCTCAGCGCTTTGAGGGAGGCGAGAAACGATTCGTCGCTCCCGAAGCCGGGCTTGAGGACATGCGACCGGGCGGCCGTGGATGCGGTGGTAGGGGCCCGGGTGGACGAGCTACGCGCGCTGCTGCACGACGACGCAAACGAAAACGATAACGAAAACGACCAGCTGACGCTTAAGGGCGGCGACGAGACGACCATCGTCGAGCTGGCCGCGAACGAAACGAGCAACCCGCTCAGAGACAACGTACGGAAGTACAAACGCCTGAGGAGGAAGATACACAAGGCGCTGGTGGAGGAGTCGGTAAGCGGTCGGACGGTAGACCTGACGGTTCGCACGCTCGACGAGATGATAGCGGGCATGATATCCAGTCGGTGCTCGTGGAAGCGGGCCGAGGCGAGGGAACGTTCGAGAAAGGCGGTCGACGGAGTCGCGAGAATACCGGACGCCTGGCGATCCGAGTGGAACAGCATGCGGGAGAGGTATTCTGAGCTGTTCGAGCCGCCGCCGGGGAACCGTTCGGGCGGAGTGAGATCCCTGATGGAGAAACTGCCTTCGTTCTTCGAGAACATTCTGCGTGAGGGCGAAACGCTCGCGAGGCGGTACAGCATAAAGTGCGAGAGGATGGGTAGCGTCTTAGAAGCGGACCGCCTTAATGGCGCCAACGTTTCGCGTCGAACGGACGTGTGCGGCGGGAGAGTAGTTTCGGTATGCACGACGGAGCTGAAACGGTATCTCGTGAGCGTGTACAAATCGATAAGCCTCGGCGCGGCGAAGGTGCTGAACGATTTCGTATCGATGTACAGGATAGACGTGAATGCGAATAGAAAGTCTATAAACAGAGGCGTGTTGGCCGACCTTGAGTTGGTTGCGCAGCAAGCGGAAAACCACGTCTGCAGTTTGTTCACTCAGAGAGTGCGCGAGTTCTCACTGGATAGAAGCCAAGTCCCGGATGCCTATATCGAGGCGTTGCATAAGCTGACCGAAGCTATTATCGAGAGAGTTAAGACGAACACGCGGCAAAATATACGGAGGGTGTTGAAAGATTGGGACGCCAAGTTGAGGGAGAGGGTCGTGGCGGATATTAAGGCAAACATGAACATGGAATTGGGTCGGATAGCTGAGGAGTTGGACGAGAGGTCTTGCAGGCTATTCCAAACTTGTAACAGCAGATATGTAGTCAAGGCTCGAAGGTTGGCTGCATCGGGACAAAAGGGCGTATTCGTAAAGGTACAAATGACCTTCGATGACGAATCAGACTACAATCTGATGGAACATTCTGGACGAGCGGATTTCGATAGACGCGGAGCGTTTGAGGGAAACTCCTCGCAAGTACCGTTTAAAGTAGTTCACTCTGCGAATGAATTTAAACATGTAAAGCCCGCCAGTGTGACGCGCACGACAAAATTGTGACCGAATGATGGTATGAACGAATGGTGGTATGAACGAATGGTGGTATGAACGAATGGTGGTATGAACGAATGGTGGTATGGTGGTATGAACGAATGGTGGTATGAACGAATGGTGGTATGAACGAATGGTGGTATGAACGAATGGTGGTATGAACGAATGGTGGTATGAACGAATGGTGGTATGAACGAATGGTGGTATGAACGAATGGTGGTATGAACGAATGGTATGAACGAATGGTGTTATGAACGAATGGTGGTATGAACGAATGGTGGTATGAACGAATGGTGGTATGAACGAATGGTGGTATGAACGAATGGTGGTATGAACGAATGGTGGTATGAACGAATGGTGGTATGAACGAATGGTGGTATGAACAAGTAACAAAATATCATTACATACAATTAGAGAATCATAATAAAATCAGCGGTCAACATTTAAATAAATGCGGTGTCATAATCATTGTATTGAAATAATCATAAAATAAAAGAAATAAATCAACTCTATTTCATTATATTCGAAACGAAGTTTCTTATAAAAACCGGACTTAAAATTACTTACAATTCAATCACAAAGCATTTGACTTACAATTGGTGTAACTTGATTTTATTTGAGAAGTCACAGCAATATTGAATAAAACTAATTAAAAGGCACTTAAATATGTAAGCATACACATTTCTAGTAGTGGCAATATCTAATAAAAAGCAAAGAGGAAAAATTACTCAGGAATAAATCAGTTTTTATCCATCTTTTCTATTAATAATTACATTGCATATGAGTTTTGTGAGGGATAATAAGTTTTTTTACAAATCATTTAATGTTCTTAGAATATCTGTCCATTTCATTTGCTAATATTATTTGCAAATCCATAACAAATTATGTCTGCCTTCCTTCCATGTAAATTAAACATATTAACCATGACAATGAGTATAAAATAATATCAACAAATACTGAACTCAGCATAACGGCCAGCGGTAATGATACAAATACAAATTACTTATGGTCGGAAATCAATGGCGAGAACCATTACGTTTTTCTGTCATATAATAATAGGGAAGAGACTATTGATTTGTAACCGTTTCAAATTTCAACTCGCAAATAAAAATAGTTTTTTCTTTGGAGTTCGAGAAATCTGTTAACAATTGGTATGGTCGTAAATAATCGACAGTAAAACCGACAGTAGATCCGATTGTTAGATCCGATTGTTCAGTCAGAATTAACGATTAAATTCCAAGTGATTTATCTCATCTTATTTATTATCTTATTTTATTTATAAAATAAGTTATCCAGTTAAGCGGTAATTGACGGCTCTGGGCAGCTTTTTGTATATTTCAGAACTGTTTTAAATTCGATTCCGTTATTGGGTACAGTCATTGTGTATTGTCACCACCATTCTACATTCCGTATACGATGGGGAAGTGCTGCAGTCTGCCGCTCGACCAAGCGATGGTGAGGCAAGCGTCCTCGGCGAAGTTGTTCTGGAAGGCCATAGCGGTCGGCAGCTCATCCTCGATGCCACACACGAAGCAGCTGGAAGGTGAAATTGCAAAGGTGAAGTAGGGTATGTATGTCCCACATCTGGACAAAGGTCTCCTTTGCACATAGGCTTTTTTTATGTTAAAAGTTGGCAAACGAGCAGACGGTTCACCTGATGTTAAGTGAAAACCGCCGCCCATGTACATCTGCTACACCATAGCCAGCAGAGGGTTACAGATGCGTTGACAACCTTTTGAAAATTGGGCTCCGGCTACCTCACTCACCAGACGAAACGCGTAAGTATTTTCCATACTTCCACTTCTTCTTCTTGGTCTTCTGTGAGGTCGTGGTACTTACCCGGGCGGGCCTGCCCATTCGTGCATCAACCGAGGCTGCTGCATGACTCTAGCACCGTCAATCCGTCCGCTATCCGGGCATAGTCCACCACGCGTACCCACCCTCTGCGGATTGGCGGAATTCACATATTTTCGAAATATGTTTTTATAGTTTTGTTATTATTTCTGAAATATGCAGGCATATCAGGATGTCTTCCTTCACCGCTGAGCACGTGATAATTCAGCACTTAAAATTAACAATTTATTGATGCCGGCACCGGCGATCGAACTCGGGTCGCTCGAGTACATTGCATTAAAGGCGATCGCTGGGACACTGAGCTATCACGGCTTACAATACATGGCCACCTGCTATTTTTCAAAAGGTGGAACATATACAAGCCAGGTCAGAAAAGTAAAGATCGAGTTACCATGGGGTTATCTTGAGCTGCATCAGCAGTGGCGTGGTGCAGAACACCGCCACCAGGTAAGACTCCTCGAACAATATGGCCAGGTAGCGGCCGTTCTTGTCCCAGCACATGTCGAGGATGGGCCCACCCACTGAGTCACCTGACGGCAGCTCCACTTTGGTCACGTCGAGCACCGGCTGGGCTTTGCTGGTCTTCGCACCTGGAGAATGTTCATTTTTTTTTATTGATATATTGTTGTTGTAATATTATTTAAATAAAAGAGCAGACTGACCAACATGTTTTATGAGAGAGTTTTCCGTTACCGTCTTACAACAAGGTACAATATAAAAAAAAAGGAAGTTAGTGATGCTACTTATTTCTAGTGTTGTGCCAAACGACAAACAATGGTACGATTTATTATTACAACACAGACTTCTCTCTTCTGCCCTTATCGCAGTTTAGTGCGGCAAAAATAGTGAATCGTGTTGTTAATCCTCTGTGGGAATAAAAAATGAGCACCGGAACAATTATCCGTGGGTCGCGCAAACTTAACCCGTGTGGGAATTGAATTTATGACGTCCGGCGCTGAAGCTAGCTTAGCAACTATTGCACCGAGTCGACTGAGTGAAACGAACGGTTGTAATGAAGAATTGTTTCCGCGTAATGAGAGCACCCTATATTTAAATGTAGCACCTTTCACCCGTCATCAAAGCCGCGGTAATTCAGTGCTCGATCTTAGTTCAGTACACTCGGCTCGAGTGTTTAGTGTGTGACCTATCTCTCATGACTGAATCTGATTTTAAATCTAGGCCAGCACCATTGAACTTGGTCATGGGTTATTCGCAGTATTAAATGTTAATTTACCACACACTTTTAGTTGATAATATATTTGGAATACAACAAAGTCAGCCGACTAAATAGTATATATTATAGTAATATTATACAGTAATGTATAATTAACGGTCTACGTTAATATAATAATTAATTAACAGTATAATAATTATAGCATTATTTAGTACAGTAACATAAATTCTAACAAAACAGAATAAAAGCTTGGAAACTAATATTACATGCATAAATCACTACAAAATCACGCAGTAAGTAACATTGTCCTTAAAGTCCCTATAAATGGCTACAAAGCGGAAAATAAAAGCTGTCACGGTAATACTTCTTAAATTGGAATGTCAATCTTAAATTCGATTGGATTTATCTGTATTAAGCGAGAATTTTCCTCAGAGCATTTGAAACTTTAGTAGTAACATTACACTAGTAATAGGATGTTTAACATAAGAAATAAGGTTTAGAATGCACTAGCATCTGATATTGCTCGCAGTTGGGCCGCCATCTTGGTGTCAAAGCTTTAAAATGGTGGGAAACGCTTTAAAGGCATTCCCGCCTGTCTTCCACATTGACTGACGTTAACCAAATAGAGTACGAAGGAAACTCCGATCCGAACTAAATTGTCTTTACGATTGCACAAAAGGTTGCATTTACTAACATTAATATTAAAATGTCTAATATCTTTATTATGTCTTACGATGACATTTTAGCAGACCCTCTATAAAGATTTATGAAGTCTCAAATTTTTAGTTTTGTTCACATTGGGTCAGAGTAATGCCCGTGTTCTTTAATATTACATCATCTCAGTCATCAAAAGTAATTTTTTTAAATCTACCATCTACCCATTCGTAATCAGGATCCTCTAACGAAGAAGAAACTGGCGAAATAAACTCCGTAGGTATCCCCTTTTTTGTAATTTTTTTATGTCAAGACATTAATACTTTTTTTTAGAAATAGCTTGTGAGGGATCAACTCATTCCCAGGGGATTATTATCATTAATGTAATCGTTTATATTATAATAACCATTCCTATAAAGTTTTCTTTAATAAATTTCTTAAACTTGTTAATAGGCAGGCTTTGTGCATTTACTAGGATTTTGTTGTAAAAGTTTTGTTTGTAATGTCAGACAAAGACTGTGATGGGTCTTATAATGTGCACTGCATCTGTATTTTTATTAATTAACGAAACTATATTTTTAGTTATACTCAATACCCATCCTCTTCACAGGTTTTAATGATATTTCCTTTTTCTGCAGTAGGGCCACACAATAACTTCTTCTGTGTCACAAATGGGCAGGCTCGTCGGAGGCTCAACCTCATTTCGAAGAAGAATATGTAACCATTGTCAGATAATTTCTTCATTGAAATGATGAAGTACCACGAACTCACAGAAGACCGGCGTGATGTGGAAGTATTATGCTTTCGAGCTTCGTCTAGTGTTTTCTTACGTTTGGCAAACGCATGGGCGTAATCAATTAACACCAGTTGAACCTGCTTGGTCATCCATTTTTACCTGTTTTCCATACATTTATTCTTTATTGGAGAAGGTGGAAAACTAGTAAATGGCTCAGTAACCATAAGTATCTGATAGGGTTGAGGAGGTTGTATCCTTTCTGGTAGGGATGAGCTCTCTTCTTGACAGTTGTCATTGATAAATGATATCTAAAAATATAGTTACCGTTAAGCAGTCCCGTGTTGCTAAGAGCGTATACCATCGGTTCGCCCTTGGCAGCAAACAAAACGACGTCATTGGGTCCCCAGCACGCTGCAACAACTCTGCAGCCTCGCGCACACCACCTTTCTGGTGTCCAGGTTTGAGTATCCCACACCCTGTAGTCACACGAAACAACAGAATCAGTTATACCATGTACATACAAAACAGAATAAATAAATAGGACTCTTTTTTATGTTAGCAGGCGGTATGTGAGCCGGTGGTAAAGTGATAACCGCCCCTTCCTCCCGGACATTTGCAATACCTGTAGGGTTGCAAAGACCTTTTAATAAAGTGGGCTCTGACTACCGCACTCACCGGACGTAACGCAGAAATATAACACTTCGACTTCGCGCCGGTATTCTGTGAGGTCATGGTACCTCCACGGTTGGACCTATCCATTTATGCAACAACAAACTGTTGTATGGCCCTACTGCAGTTAAATACTCTCCGGCTCACTCTGAGGATTTTAATCTAATATATAAAATTCTCGTGTCACGGTGTTTGTAATTGAACTCCTGTGAAAATTTTGTGTGCATATCAGCCAGGGTGGAGAATCGGACAACATCTATTTTTCATCCCCCTAAATGTTAAGGGTGGTCCACCTCAAACATTTTTTTCTGCCCTTCAAATAATTTATATGGCAAAACAATGTTTGCCGGGTCAGCTAGTCATCTGATATATGATAATAAAAAATTAGCCTTTTATTCTAAAAGAAATTTACTTTTAATGTGAAACTTTTTTTCTTGTCAAACATTGTATTCCTTGCTCTATGTAAGGTGGCACTTTATGTTTTGATGAGATTGCAAGCAATAAAATATTTGGGACATAAATTCTATATCTCTAAGTAATGCTTAGAAACATTAATCATTTTAATATTAGTTGGCTGTATTTGATATTCATTTTAATAATTCCTTGGAAGGAGATTCAACAGTTTAGAAGACAAATAATAAAGTGACCCTATAAGAATTTTCTTTATGCTAGCAATTTGAGTACAATTCAAGGAATAATATGAAATATAAAGCCCATTAATTACTTGTCGGGATATACAAAAATTTGTAAATAAAATATTAGATACAAATTATAAAATAAAATCTGTCTGTTACAAGTCTCTCTCTGCATTTCTCTTCATTTCTTATGTGTGCTATATGCCATTGCTCCATTTATTAAACTCTTCTGGCACAGTCCATGGACATTTGCAATACCCATAGGATTGCAGATACATTGCCACCTTTTAATAAAGTGGGCCCTGGGCTGTGGGCTATCTAGGTCTAAGCTGGACTGACCTGCCCATTCATGCCACAGCGAACAGTGTTCGCTGTTGCATTGCCCTACCACAATAAATCTTATTACTTAATACTATATTCATTGATATATACTCAGGTTTAAACATTAAAACATCTAGTAAATTGTTAAGTTTGGATTTCAGTTTAAATAAAACATGAAAATAATATACCTGAATATGATGGATGAAGTAGCTGCAAAAATTTTGCTTGCGTCCAGAGACCATCTTGCAAACACAATACCTCCACCTGCAACCCTGCGCAATGGTACAGCAGTTTCCATGGCCACATCCCACACCAGCATTGAAGTGTCTGCACCACAGCAACTGACCAGGAGGTCACCGTTAGGGGACCAACTGACATCTGTGACAGGACTGTGGCCTGATCTAAAATATTTAATTGTTAGCTTTGAATTGATACAATAACTTAAATGCAGTCATTTACAAAATAACTGAAAAAATCTTTTATCTCTGCCAATACCTCTCAAAGATAGAGTTGAGCTTTCTCACATAAAAAAATGCTAATACCGTTTTGTTTTCCCTTTGGGTAGTATAAAAAATTTATTAGAACTGAACTGAATTAAATATGTTATCTATTCTACATTAAAAATAAAAAAAAAAGGGTTATAAATGGAGATTTTTGGGTCTTGAAATAGTATAACAAAACCCTTAATAACTTTTATGTTATTTATTATATACAATAAATGCTAACAAGGTCTAGCCTTGTAAGCATTTATATACAATAAATGCTTACAAGGCTAGACCTTGTTAGCATTTATTGTATATGACCACTTTAAAGGCTAATCATGTACAATTTATTTATTTATTTGGCACGGTTACAAAATACAAATTTTAACATGACTAAATTATTACAGACCAATACATATTACTAAACTCGCATTTCAATAACAATCGAACACAACATTCAAATACAATAAACTTTATTAGGTTATAAGAATACAAATTGGACATTACTTATTTAATTTGTTCGAATTAAGTTTATTGTTTATCGTTAATAGAAATTTATCGAATTTAGTTATGACATTACCTCTTTAAAACAACAGCATTACTAGATGACGGTTTTGTGAACATTGAGTTTGGATCAACTGTCCAAACAATGACACCTTGTTCACAACCCACTGCTAGTTCCGAAGCGGAGTATGGACGCCAGCACAAAGATGAAACATGGCCCTGGGCCTTACATTTCAATGTAGAGACAAATGAAACTTCAGAGCAATAAATCCTTACATTATCATCAGCTGTAGCTACGGCGATTTTCGTAGTGTGTGGATGCCAAGCCAAACATTTAATTGGGGTGGTGTTCCAATTTCTGGTACGAGAATATTTGGACACAATTTTAGGACCTATATCTTTGAGATGTGGTTGAATAAAATATCTAAAAGCTGTAAATAGATTAGCTATTTTCAAGACGTAGGAAGCTGTAACTGCGAGGAAAGGACTTTCACGGTTTATACTTGAATCGGCAGCCACACTTAAGGCATCTAAAAATCCTTGCTTATACCAAACACTTGTGATCTTTTTTAGCAACTTATCTTCAACGTCAACATAGAGGGATAAGTTCTCATCCGATATTTTGTGATGTTGGACATCTCTTGTAACATTGATTTTTGGGTGATTTTTTGTCTGAAAATTAAAAAAAAAATGGTTATTAGAAATTATTTAGTAAACCATCTAGTTAAGATTTGAAATATAAGGTGTTAAGAAACACCCTTACAGCATTCGTGAACGTTGAAATGTTTCCGTAGCGATTGTTGGCACAGCAATATACTTCATTTACAACACACAAAGGGGTATCCTCAGGTCCCGGAAGATCCGGGAATCCCTCAAAAATTGACATATTATTTTTAGGCAAATTCTATTAAACACAAATAACTGGCACTACTTCTTTCCTATTTGGCGGTTTTTGAATTGAATTGAAACTCTACTGACAGTGACAGTTCACGGAATAGTGATGAGAGTGTGAGTCTTTATGTTCAGATTATGTATTTGTGCCATTTGCTGTTGAAACATTAGGTCCGTGGGGTCCCCGCACATCAAATTTTTTTAAAAGTTTATGTCCTAGGCTTAACGCCGCGGCTGGTGACAAGAGAGCTGGTTCTTTTCTCGCGCAAAGGTTGAGCATAACTATTCAGCGAGGAAATGCAGCTAGCGTTCTTGGCACCATGCCGCGTGGATTAGGTTTATTAGATAATATGTAATTTTAGATAGATTTAATCTTGTAAATATTAGATCGATGAGAGTTGACATTGATATTGGTAGATAACAGCATTGGTACTTATCTAATGTAGCAAAAATATCATTTTTATTTCGTCATGAAAAGATTGCAGCTTTTTTACAGTGTAGTTTGCTGTTAGCTAAGCGGCTTCCACGACTTCATCAAAAGAGCTCTGCTGCAATTTGCCAATTACGAAAATCCATGTCAATATACATAAAATCAAAAGTCGCTTATTGCTTCTACTAGGAGCTGGGCTGGATTCAAGATTATGGAGTGTAGAGATAAGGAGGACTAATGGACTGACCCTGAGGATGCTGAAGATCGGGCAAAGTGGAAGAGTATGAGTAGGAAGGCAGACCCTGGCAATAGCCGGGATTAATGCCAGATAGAAGAAGAAGACATAAGAACGACAATAGAAATTGAAAAAATGACCAGGGGTATAGTTAGAAACTAAAGAACCGTGTTGAATTTTAGTATAGACCCGCCGCCTAGAACCCAGCTGCTACCGTAGCAACACCAATTTAAAGGTTTTTGACGAATACACAGAGTTTGTACTTCTACCTCTTTATTTCATGTCCAACATTTTTATGGAGTGTTGATTAGATATGGTACGACTAAAGATAGATTGGAACATAGACTTAAGATACATTTTCTAAACTTAGGTTTATGTTCGAGGTCTGGATAAAGTTCGATGATTTGTTTTAACACTAGGCGGCTAAACTGCAAATTAACCAAAACGAAGCCGATGAAAAGTTTTTCGATATCCATTTACTGGGTTCTTACTAATAGGTCCTTGTTATTTTATTTAAACGACTTGTACTGCTAACTGAATTGATAATATTAAAAGCTAATATCAGTGCCGGATTAATCAAGTGCTGTAGTAATCGAAACTTTTGAACAGTCCGATCTGCTATGAGTTCTTAAGTATAAAGTAAAAAAAAAAAACGATTCAATACTCTTACTTATCTAATAAGTTTCAAACAAATAATTAAGGTGCAGGCAAAGATGAGTGGATTTAAATATGTGGGGACCCATTAAGCACGGGGCCCGAAGCAATTGCTACTCTTGCTACGTGATTAATCCCGCACTGACAAATATCGAAATGATAAGCGAAAATGAGGTAGTATAATATTTTCAGTTGTAAATCTTGACGTCGTTCTCTAAAATAGTAAGGTTTATTTACCCTACTTTGACTACGACGTACTCTTAAATCCTATCACAATCGATTTAATTAGTTAGGAATTATTGGATTCTGAACTAAACAAATGGATATATTTGATTTTGACAACAACCCATGGTCGAAAATGATCGAATTAGTTTAAAAACACGATTGATTGAATGCCATCATTATCGCCCTAGGGCCTAGAGGTGGTACATACTAATACAGCTACAGAAGATCAAAAAAATACAATATTTTCGATGAGTTTAATCATTTACTTACTTGGTACCACCATAATCAGTCTTTAATAAATTAATGAATCAGTTTTTGAAGTAAAACAAAATCTGTAATTCCTCGTTTTCTATATCTCCAGCATCTTCTGCACTTTAACTTTTCGAAGAGAAAGTGGTTGCACGGCATGCTGTAGTTTGCACTCTATTGTAGTTTGATCTTTTTCGCCTTCGTCCTAATCACCACGACTGAATGCTGAGTTAGTCCCTGAGCTTCATGGATAGTTAGGATGCGAGACCCTGATCCAGACCAGTTATTGGTTATTGAGGGATTCTTTTTCACTTTTTGTATAAACCAGGTAAAGGGTGTTTGAGAAGGTTTTATGTATCAGCGCAACTATGTATATTTTGCACCCAGGTGCAGTCCTTAAGACACGAAATTGGGACCGTTTGGTTGCGTATATGCCGCTATAAATCTCCTTGAGGTGAACACCATACGCCACATCCATTGGATTCCGGTGCGTGCATCTCAGCTCCTTGCTTATCGAGGTGATAGGACTCACCTCGATAAGTAATCACCTCGATAAGCCTAAACGAAAAGAAAACCTCTTCCCAATGTTGTACGAGTGTACAACATTGGGAAGAGGTTTTCTTTGTCTATAAACGATAGCCGGTTGATCCCACCAATGAGCAAAATATATTTGGCTTCGTATCTCAACGCTTCTTCGACCAAAAGACGTGTGATGCAATTTTTCTCTAGTTCTTTGACGCCGTTTACCAGTATTGAAGCCATAATGAGCACTTTAGCCATGTCACCAATGAGCCCATGCGACAGCCTAGTTTTCATTTAAGTCTTTTGCTGCCTCAGATGTTGTGGTGAGCAACAGGTCTTTTTCAACATCAAGGTTGTTTGCTATCCAAGTTGTTTTTTTCTAACTATCCCATGACACCACCGATTCAACAGATCCCACAATGGTGTCGGTCATTGCTAGAATTCTGTCTGAATTTTTTATTAGTACGTCCACGAAGATAGTTTCTATCGTTTATTTGCTTTAAGCTGTCTTGTCTAAAATTGTTGTTATGTATATTTATTCATATACTTATGACCTTCCCAAGATGCTTTAGCTGCAATAGTTTCTGAAATAATTCCTGATTCTAAAATATATATTTATAATTATAAAATGATTATGACTGTAATAACGATAAATACATTAAAAATTATGTATGATATTCGAGCAGATCCAGGGATTCATAAGTGTAAAACGTTAGTTTAAAGCTCGTTTCTTGTTAAAAATTCGCGCTATTCTTTGGGAATAGATTTAATTCAAATGGACAAATTGTTCAGATTATGGTTAAAAAAGGCTTAAAATTTGTAATCTAGGTCTACGGTGCGACAGGTATGCATAAGATTACACTCTCTTTTTATTCCAATTTCCAAGAATGGAATTCAGAAATGCGATTACCTTGGTCTAACTGTTTGCCATTGACTTTTTAAAGTTGAAGCTGAAAAAGAAAAAAAATTCATCGCCCTTATGATTTATTTTTATTTTCAGTCCCAAGAGAGTATTGGATAAAGTACTTCAGTTCCAGAATTCATTAACAGCCTGTATCTCTAATAGTCTTGTATTTTTTATCATAGGGATGGCCAACTAAGATTGCAGTCTCCTCTCAGTATGATCTTCCATTAACTTGATTTGGAAAGAGATCTTATGAGGCATCGCGAGTTGGAGTCTTAGAGAACTTATACTGTACTGCGTGGATAGTTTTCAACGACCCGTTGTAAATCTTGTTAGTCGTTTTGCATTCGGTAAGGCACTGGTGTTTGCAGTTCGAGTTGAAGCTTTTTAACGGGCAGGCCAATGATGGAATCAGACTCAAGCTAAATGTACAATGTTTAAGGAAAATAAGGTTTTTACTACCGCCTTTCCCCATGGCGATTACGGAGACGTCGTTGAAAATGTACTTCTTATTTGTCATGATGAATTCGATTACATTTGTAAACCATGGGGGCTTATCCAAGCTACTTTAAGAATGGGTGCTTCTGGTGCAAAAAGTTCAAAAAGTACAGTCCTTCCTTTGCTATGGACTTAACAAGCCTATGGTTCTGCTGGTTGTGGCATCCATATGCTCCCACTTTCAACTAATCAACATTCTATGAAGTAAGTTTTGGACGTATAGGGGCTTCTCATCGCTGGCATTTATTAAATTCAGCAAATACAGATCGGTGATACCTACTTTTTGAAATTTTAATTACAATATAAGAAATATATATTTGACGGTCATTTTCAACTGCTCTATATATTATAATTGGATCCCGGCGAAATCGGGCAGGTCGCCAGTATCTAATAATATGTAGATAATGATATTTGTAAGTACTAATATCACAAATCAAATGAACGCTTGACACATTGGATTTAGAAATTGGGTGTAACAGAACAAAAAAATAAAATAATCTAAGGGTCATATGAATAACACTAAAACATTTAACAATTTTATATATAGAGAAATAAACTTAATGAAAGGAACAACAATTATTATTTTCCAAAAAATTGGTCTTATAATTTCTAAATTTCGATAATGAAATATCTGATCAAAATCGTTTTCAACTTAATTGAATCACGCTGTGAACGAACCGCAACCCTTTGACAAAAATAGAATGGTATTGAGTTTCAATTAAAAAATAAATTATGCATTCACAACGTGCCTTTTTTGGTTAATAGGTCAGATTTGGTAAATATAGTTAAGCTATACTATTATTTTTAGGTTATTTTATTATTAAGGATAATTATTGGAAATAATAATAAATTGTTGTAACAGTATGTTTTATCCCTTTCAAATTCATTCAACCCATTCATATGCTTTGTGACGTTTACAAATTAACTTTACGTTACAGTTTTATACGTAAGGGTGTTCTAAAATTGATTGTTTAGGAAAATTTAAATAACTCGGTAAATATTGATGTTTAAGGAATGTAAATGATTAATACAATTTTAATAAGTTATCCTCTAAATGTGTACTGATTTATGGTAGCGACACGGTGTATAATACCATCTATTAAAAATTTAGTATAGTGAAATAAAATACTACGACTTTAAAAATATTTTACAATCAGGCGTATATTTACCATTCTTCCTGATAAGTTTAATTCATACATTATTACATTGCTAGACGGTAACGGAGTCGTGATAGCTCAGTGTCCGGGCGAGCTTTAATTCAATATACTCGAGCAACCTGAGTTCGATCCCGGTGCCGGCACCAATGAAGTTTTTAACTTTGAGTGCTGTCTTATCACGTGCTCCGCGGTGAAGGAAAACATCGTGAGGAAACCTGCATATTTTCGATATAATAACAAAAAAAAATATTTCGAAGATATGTGAAGTCCGCTAATCCGCAGTGGGGCCGCGTGGTGGACTATGCCCTGATACCCTCTATATAGAGGAGGCCTTTGCTCAGCAGTGGGACATGTATAGGTTGTTACTTTAGACGGTGACTGTCACGATGAATTTTAACTAGGTGTTCCCGTTCGATCACACCAGGCAATTTATATATATAATGTACATATACCGCTAGTATTCAACAATAATACCCTAGCTAAAACTCGTAAACTTAAAATTCTGTATTTAACCTTACATTGACTAAGTAGATGGAGGTCATCTTAAATACCAATATACCTGACGGCCGCAAAGCGACCGTCTTAGTGTAAGCGAATGTATTTGCTTTTACTGCACGTAATATCGTAGAAATTCTTCAGTGCAAATATGGAAGTGAAATATGGTGCTTTCAAAATATGGAATTCGACAGACTTTACGGTCGGGAATTCTATGAAGAGGGAAAATAGAACACTGTGTCCAGAAGACGAAAACTTAGACTATTGATAATATACTTTAAAATTTCAGGAAAATTTAATAGTATTTTTATACACACTTAAGATAATTTACACACTCGAACTATGGGTAAATTGGGAATTGTTACTTTTTTGTTTTTAAAGTTAATAGATCGTGCAACGCCAACACGTCTCGGGATTAAATCGCAATTTCAACCTTATTCCTTCCTCCAGGTAGGGCCCCATATAGATTGCGATCCAAGCCGAGGTTTGAACCTCCATCTCATTGGATCTCCCTTGGATCGTTTCGTGCCCCCCACCCCCCTTTGTTAGTCGATTGTCCATCTTTCGTTAGCAGGGTGTTGTGAAGTGCAGCGGAGCGGACGGCGTTTTCTTGTCGTCGTCGTGCACCAGCTACGTTGTTCTCCCGAGTCCGTGGGTCGTCTGCCCGCAGACCCCTTCCGCCGAAGCTGTCAAAGCCGCCGGGCTAACAGCAAACTACACATCATAAAAAAATGTTTTTAAAGTTCCTGGTTAAGTTTCCAATAGAAAAAAATGTATATTTTGGAGAGACTGTAAAAATTATAATTATTGTATGCATTCTCGATCATTATTAATGATATGAACGAAAAATTTGGTTGATGAGATTTTATTATTAATTTTTACTTATTAATGTAATATACATTTACAAAACTTAAGCGGTGTTATGCCCATAAGTTTATTTAGAATGTGTAATTTTCCTTTGGCGTACTTAAAAATATACTCTCATAAAATGGAATGTCATTAGCTACACTCGTTGAGATAACTTTTAGAAACTAACGGAATTAGTTACTTTGTAGAAGAAATAAAAAGAAAGTATTTGCTCATCACTTTATTAAGTTTCATTACAATTCATATGATTTAAGTGCAAATTACTTGTTCATTAAAATTTCTATCGCAAATACAATTAATGACAGGCAACATCCCAAGATCCAAGCGTAAATGGCTCCGGCTACTTGCGATATGGTTATAGCGCATCCAGCTTCACAGCTGTAGCTGTTAGCCATAATGTTGGCGTTAGCATTCTCAGCCTTTGCCTCGATTAGCAGACCGATTGCTTCCAAATATAGGCGGTCGCAGATACCGGCTTCAAACAGTCCCTGTATGATCCAATCAAACTTACCGGCGAACGGACTACCCTTACGGACGATCATTTCGTGGTATAGAATGAAGATGTTCTCCCAAGCTCTGAGAACTCTCGCTTCGTTGTCCACGGCGGTGAACGCTTGCAAGGGATAGAAATAACCCTCGGGAATTACAGTGAGCCCTTTGTTAATGATCGTCTTATTCTCGCAGTCCTGAAAGTCTGCACAATTTTTCGACGTATTGGCAAAAGCCTTGTACTTGGCGTCTTCTACGAAAAATTTCGTGTCGTAATTCAAATATGGCGTTCTGCCTGACTCCATTACTTCGTCATTGGTTTTCAACGTTTGTGGTGGTCCTTGGATTGTGAAAAAAGAATACAGTTGAACGCTCAAGTAGGCCGATAAATGCAGGCAAAGAATCAAGTAAGAAATATTTAATATCTTTTGCTTCCATGTTGTGGAATCTTGTAAGGACGATGTTCCTATTAAAGCACCCCAGCTGTATAGGAACGTGTTCCTTCGAGACACGGGAATATGATCAAAATCGCAGAACAGTATGTAAATTATGGAGTAGGCAATGTAAAATAAGAAGAAAATGTATAACCCGTTTACTTTATGCACTACTGTTTGCCATGACCTAGGTGTTCTTTCAACAGCGTAAACCCAAATTACTGCTTGTCTTGTATAGATGCCCGAGTAATAAACCAAATCACCATATATTCTATACAGACCACCGGCGCATGCATCAAGACTGCCATTTAGGAGGAATGGAACATATTCAAGGTGTAAATACGGACTCTCTTCTTCCCTATATATGTAAAACAACCTCAATGTTGCATTGTAGTATTTAGAGATTATTTTAATTATTTCTATATCCGAACCCCGTATTTGACTTTCGTTCAGGAATTGAAGATTTTGTAGGGACTCTCTGTTATCAGCCATAGCATATGGATACATCGTTGCCATTCCGACATTAAAGTCACACCTTTTCAAATTTCTTGGCTTTTTTGAGGGAAATATTATCTTTTCTGTTAATGTTCCGTTAGTGCACGTGTTTACGAGAGTAGGTACCGTTTTGTTATCATATTGGCAAGTGACTCCGTCTATTTCTGGAATAGTTGTTAATAAGTTATGTCTCAAATGATTTATATCCCTCACAACAAATGTTACATCTTGATGTTGATGTTTAAGACCTGCATTTTCCAGATCACTATTACATTTTTCATCAAAATTGTTGTTAATAATGATTAGATATTTATATTCTTCGGTAATGGTCCCGTCCAGCTGTGCTAAGGAATTGCAATTTTGGACTATAATAACAATCAGTAAATTCGCTTCATAATTTTCAATAGTTTCAAATAACTGCAAATCTTTCATAACTACTTGTGGAATGTATACATCTGCCAGCATTTTTGTGATTTCATCGATATATTTATCGTCTTCAGCATTAATATTATCTTCATTGATTATAATAACCGTTGGCTTACTATACCGATCGCTATCCGCAACGGTTATGACACATTTCACGAAGGACTCTGTGTCCTCGACGACATCCTGTTTCAAAAATTTTGTTTTTGCACTTGTTATTTCTAAAATAAGCAAGTAAAACAAAGCGTTAAAGAGTAAAACTTTTAAATACGACATAACTCTTTAAGCCCCAAACCGATATTGATTTTATATAAATTAAAGGGTTTTATTACTTTTCTCGAAATTAAAGACTCGTGAAAAGTTAGAGTTACCAAAAAAAAGCGTTTAAATATATGAACCTTCTAAAACGTAATTGAATTATTGGAATGAATTACAAGCTTTTATATAAACTTTACAGACCTCTGTTAGCTTTTAATAAATTTTCAGACGGTTCAAAAACCTATGTATGAAATTTCTCTACGCAGTCAAAAGATCGAAGCTATGATAGTAGTACTTCAACTAGTGTACAAATGTAATAATTTACTTTAATATTTTATGGTAAATATATATAATATCGCTAGTCGTTGCAGACGACGTAATTAACGTTTAGGAATTTTTATTATTCCTATTTAGAGCACGGCGAATAATGGCATTTGGCGCAATGTACCTCTAACAGATGTTCGAGTTAAATATTTTTTAAATCTGTACTATTCTTTGTAAGACTACAATAATTTAAAATATCTTCGGTTTTAATGCGTTAAACAAGAAAAAGCTTTTACTAGGCCATTGGGTATAGAGCGAATTAATTGTTAAAAGACGATAAGCAACGGCAGTGAATATTTATCGTTGGATCTTAAAATACATATACCATTTGTGAGGCTAATGGCCGTGAAAAAACTAAAAGCAAGACTTCCAAACTAAACTAAGAAAGCCATTTATTGATTACTTTTAACTTTTGTTAAGATGTAATCATTTAAAATTGCTAATGCAAAATCAAATATGTTACACAACATTCAATTTCGAACATATGGAAAACGCATACATATTGGTAATATGCCATAACATTATTTAGTATGATTTTACAGCAAGTTATGAATTTCATTTTTATCTATGTGCATATCTATACATAGATGTATAGGCTGGTACTTTACTTTTTATATTGAATTGAAATTTAAATTCCGAAATAACATCACCGATCGTAACAATTTTTCCTAAAACATTTGTTCACATACAACTGAGCCTAATATTCCTCGACATTTGCTAAGGAAATTAATATCCTTTAAAATATTCTTTCGTCTATCGCTTCGCTGTTTTATAAATTTGTTCTAACGATTGTTCTACAGAAACTTACCACTTGGGAGCTAAGATTTATGTTAGGCAGTGAAATGACAGGCACGGAATTGATTCCTTGCTGATATTGAACTGAATTTGTGCGATAAAATACTGTATAATTTCTTTCTTCAGCGTTATTTTAGGCTTGTGTAATTGTGTTTACTATTTTTATTTGTTAATATGTCTGTGTTAACATTTGCCGTGTCAACTTTACTTATATTCTCTAATTCTTACTTATACTTGCCAATTTAGCCACAGCTTAGTTGAAAATATTGGCTAAATCTATGGTTTACTGAACTGGTACATCACTACTTAGGGATATGTGTGGCTCTTGCCCCCTTAAACTTCTTCGGCTTCTGTCCTCCATACCACTGGGAGGGATCTCTCAGAATTTCTTTCGAAACCCACCGGTGTGGTAGTGCTGTGAAAAAAATAATCAAAAAAATATGCATGTTGCGAATGAAAACTAAAAAAATACCACCGGTAAAATATGGTATAAGACGTTTGATACTCATACTAAATCCCTTTGTTGAAGTGAAAACTTGAAATATCCTTAAATTTTAGAGACGACGAAGTATTATCATAAATACATTTCACACGGTCTTGGTAGGCTTATGTAATTTGTTACATCAGCCTACCAAGTTCGTTAGCACACAGAATTGAAGATTCCCCTTAAATAAATTGCTTTCAAACAATTATAGGTTATACATATCCCTGGAGGATTTTTGTAAATCGGGTATTTTGGAAATAAAAAAAATAAAAATTGGTTAGAAAGCAAGGATCTGCTATAGAAAAAAAAAGTAAAAAAAAAAAATAAGTGTCTAAATGATCGTGACACGAAGCGCGGCCCTCTGTTTCGGGGACGCCCGATTACCGACAGAGCTAATTATAACATTTTTTTTTCGGTGAAATTTACCGCCATATGATATTTTTCATTCCCTGAAAACAGGGATAAAAGGACATTTTCTAAAATTGAAACCTAGCTAGATCTATTTTTCGCCCCCGAATCTACGCACATACTAAATTTCATGAAAATCGCTGGAGCCGTTTCCGAGATTCCAATTATATATATATATATATATAAGGTAGTACCGGGAGGACCGAGCTTTGCTCGGTTTTTATTTGGTAAATCGTGTATTTAGGAAATTAAATTTAGATACAAATTACTGAGTAATGAAATATGCATAATTTTTTTCGATCTTACCGACGTAATAATAAGAAAATATGAACTGATGTTTTTCACAAAAGAAAGAACTTTAAAAAAAAGATATTGACAAAAAATAAAAATAAAGAAAGCTACTGTACCCAAAAAAAAGTAAAAAAATAAATATTATAACCACGTCTTTTTGGGGCCATTACGCCGTTTATTGAGACATCCTCTGAAAACAGGGATAAAAGGGCGGTCGTTTTTCGAAGACTAAATTTCATGAAAATCGCTGGAGCCGTTTCCGAGATTCCGATTATATATATATGTATTTACAAAAATGCTCGTTTAAAGGATAAGAATTAGATATTGACACTAGACTACGTACCCAAATAAAATAATATATTATAAGTCTTTCAGACGCCGTTATTGAGAATCCGTGAATGCGGTCGTGAAGACACGACGAGAGACGATTTTTATTATAAAAATTTTTAGTACGAGTCGAACTCGCGCACGAAGGGTTCCGTACCATACAATCTATAAAAACGGCAAAAAAATCATGTCTGTTGTATTGGAGCCGCACTGAATTTTTTTATGCTGTTTTTAAGAATTTGTTGATATAGCGGCAAAAGAAATACATCATCTGTGAAAATTTCACTAACTATCACGGTTCATGAGATACAGCCTGGTGAAAGACCGACAGACAAAAATCAGAGACTTAGTAATCTGGTCCCGTAGCTAAGTATCTGCATTTTTGTACGTGTTAGGATAAGGAATCCAAAGTTAATATTGTGAATATTTTGTGTTGCTAATAAAAGTGTGAAATAGAATTTCATGTATTGTATGAAGTTAGTACAGTATGAAAAATGCCAGCTGATAAGCAATATTTTAATTTGAAAAACCCAATTCCAATTTCATTTGAACGAATTACGAGAACAACGAAGAACATCAAAGGATCCGATAGGGGCCAATTGAATGAATAACGGTTTTGGGCAGTTGAAAACTTGTGGCAAAAAGCCAATTGGAGTTTAAAGCCACAACGGGGGAAGGGGTATACCGTTTTATCGTATATTCTTCATCATATGAGAGTCCGCTGTCCTCCAGAACCGCATGAGACATACGTATTGATAGATGATGTAAATGGGCTTGGACCTTTGGCTATAGTAGTATTAAACCTAACCCGGTTTTAGTAGGCAAGTTAAATTAATCCATTCGCGATGTTCTATTATAAACACATTCAAGAGTTGGCATACCACACCTGCGAATGTAACTTACATATTTCTTTATATTTATAATGGTTAGGTTAGCAAATGTAGGTATTACGAAATCATTTAAACTCAAAATTGATGACTCCGTTGCGCAGTTGCCAAGGTATCGGCTTCGGCGTCGGGGGTCGTGGGTTCGATTCCCACAAGAGAAAACTATTTGTGTGACCCACAGATACTTCTTTCGGATCTGGATGTTTGTCCGAGTGAAATTTATGTTTGTAAAACGTCTTTACAATCAGGATAATGTTATCCAAAAGTAAGGGGATTGTTTTATTTTATAAAAAAAGAAATAAATATATTAAATTATATTGGCTGACAAGTTTATATGTTGTCATAGTAGTAGCTTGAAGATAATGAGACCCGTTTCAACTAAGCGCCAGTAGGCGGTATTTTTGGATTACCGATTAGTCAGTCAGTCTACTCTAACACCAAATCTTTTAATTTTCATTGGATTTCAACGCCAGAGACTTCTAAGCGAAGTACTGACGATGAATCAGTTTTTCTCCCGTGATGTGCACCTTTTTCTGCCGGACTTGCGTCTAATTTTTACAACAAACTTCTCGCTCACTCTGGCCTTGTTCAGATAGGAACCGCTTGAGCTACTTGTTCTTTATGTGTCCATTTTCGTAATTGGTTCGTTATCATACCGTGTCCATCGTTTTATAAGGGGTAAGTATAAAAATTATAATTCGAGCAAGTTATTTCTTTAATGACATTCAGGCTTAGAGCAATCCAAGGGTTCTAGCAAAGCAATCCAAAGGTACTATGGATAGAATCACCTATTCAGAAGAAGTAACAATTTGTTAATGTTTTGTTTGCTCATATACTATTACTTAGGAAGGTCCAAATGTTGGAAAAGTATTTATACACCATATTCTACACCAGTGATCGCATAAAAAACCATTAACTAAACTATCAAAATGTCACCAGAATTCAAAGCAATTTACTTAAGTATCTTTACTCGTGTCATTTTCCTCTTTGTCTTGTAATTTTAAACGTTGATAATTACGTTGAAAGGAGTTCTGTTGAAATTTTAGACTGGCAGTACTTACGTCGTCCGTAGTTATCCGTGCTGGATCTTTATTAGAGCACGTCTCTTAGAGCACTCGGCGAAAACTCCATGCTTTGTGAAAAGATTTTAGCATTCTTTGTGTTTCGAGTTTTTAATATTCTTCGTAGGACAAACTTAAGATGCCTACTGGATATTGTATTCCATAAAAAATTTACAGCAACTGGTGGGTACATATAACAAGTGAAAGTTTTGGAGTTGTGATGTCGTTTTTTTTGGTATTATTTATTCTAAAGTCAGTCAGGTATGCATTGAAAATGAATAATAGGTAAGTATTATTTTAATTTAACAGGCACAGGAATCTGATTGTAACGCCAAAAGAGATATCCTGAGATCTATCGAAGGTCATTTTTCATTATGATTGTCGAGAGTCGAGTGGATTTAGTATTTTTTATTCCATTTTATTATGTAACCAGTTTATAAGCTTTTGAAAGTTGAAATATTTTCTTAATAACTATTTTTATCTTAGTCAGTTATGGATGTTAACATATTTTATTCCAATGACTTCGATAGCGGCTTAGACTTGGGTTCAGTTTTATTAATACGAAAAAAAAGTAGCAGGAAATCCGATAGTAATTATATACATTGCAATAAAGTTAATGTAATGTTCATACCGTCGGAAGGTGTTACGTTACATTCATTTACGTGTTTTCTGTTTCACTGAACATGTGGGCAATTTTGAAGTTGCGTTATTCCTTTTGCCGTAAACTTTGTGAATGATGATTTTTATACATCATGGACAGGTTCTTAACCAGATATGAGAATACAAAGAGCTATGGCCTATTACACTAGAAGTTGTTTTTTAGTTGTTTGGAAAAAACCATGTCTGTTGTATTGGAGCCGCACTGAATTTTTTTATTCTGTATTTTAGTATTTGTTGTTATAGCGGCAACAGAAATGCATTCTCTGAAAAATTTTACTGTCTAACTATCATGGTTCATGAGATACAGCCTAGTGAAAAACGAACAGACAGACAGCGGAGTTTTAGTAATAGGGACAAAATAGGACGTTGTAATCTAATTAATTGTCACAATAATTACTGCCTAAAGATAAGCTTCTTATAAAGTTATTTAATCAAGTTGTAATGATCTTATTGCCCTTCAAGTATTTGAATTAAAATAATACTGAATTGACCGAAATGAATATCTATTTATTCCCAAGGGATGGAATCATTTACGGATCCCCGATTCTATCAATTTCTAATAATGGCTCGAACAAAAACTGAGTTGGAAACGAAAATGAAATGAATAAATCCAGAAGTTTCGAATCAATCAAGGCTATAAACGGGAACAAAATAAAGTTATAAGTTCAACATAATTCATCATTAATAGCAAACATTTGAAAATAATTAAATTGCTAATGTTATAAAAATAATAATCCTCTTAATTATAATTTATTCTGTAGGACCAACCAGGTTTTAAAAATCATCATATTTCAAGTAATTAATTATAAGTATGTTATTTTGCCTTACTTTACTCATGTTTAAATTGGCCAAGTTGGTAGATTACTATAGAAACTCGTTATTTATTATTATGATTATTGACAATATTAAAAAAATATAAAATTAATTCTAGAAATTAACTATTTCTTCCCAATTTAATTTATACATCTTAAGCAGATGATAAGAATAGTCCTAAGCTAGAAAAAGAAGTATTTGTTTTGACTTTATATAAGACTATTTAAAATAACTTTATAGTAATCGTAGTAATGCGGATGACGAAGAGAACTTTGTTGATATCACCTTAAGTAAAAATCTTGAAATAATTTTACTAAAAATTGTTGAACAACTTACCCAAAATTATCTTAAAGCATGTAATAGTATAAATATATTAAAAGGTATATTGAGAAAAAATATAAGCATGCTAAAATTAATTTTTCAAAATAATTTTTTTTAATGTGTAATATAATATATATAAATATGAAGAAAAAAAATTTGATTCCACTATTCATTATATTGTAAAAAAAATATTTTTTTACCTGGGGGTTTGCAATCAAAAATGTTTCCGATAAAAATGGTAGTAGTAGCAAACGTAGTGATTACATTCTCTTTGGTAGTAGTTGTAGGCTGGATACCGGAATTTTTGAAACATGTTTTGAGGTTATTTCACACGTCTAATTTGCCATTGTTTTTAAAAGTTCCGACTTGGCCGTTTACGAAGGAAGTTTATCGATTTGCGACTATAGTACAGACACACGGGAGCTCTTTGTTCGAGTATCACATTTGTAGAGTTGAAATGGTAAAGAAAGTTGTTTTATTCCAATTTCGAGGAAAAAAGAAGAAATTGCTAGAGACGCATGATTACAAAATTTTACGTAGGCTTTTAGGGCATTTGCGAGTGAAACATTCAGTTATTTCTCCCTCTATCATCGTAACATTTCTTTATACGCTTTTTATAGGAATATGCTTTTAGTAGACTCGATGTTACTTCACGCAACCACGTCCATCGTCGCTTTTATACCTATATATGAAGGTGTACCCGGATCAAAATATACATTTGGTATTTCTAGAGATGAATCGAATACGTACATTCTCATGGTTGTCTAAATTTGAGTTTATTATCGTTAAACTAAGATAGAAAACAATCATACGCATGCTATCTCGACCACAACATTTGTCAATTCTACAATTTCACGGCCTCGAATCTCTAAAGATGAAGACAAATTTCAACCGTAAAAGCAATTTCACTCGGACGACGCTTCGTTATCTAAGATATTTAATGTTAATTACAAATCTCTCGTGATTGGCGTCGTCTCATTTCTTTTCTTCTTCGCTTTGGACTAATGCGTTGTTAGCTCAAGTCGGTTGGTCTGTTACTTTCGTTGCTTCAATACGACGCCATCAAGAATGTGCCGAGGTAAATACAATTTATTTCATAAATTGTGGTACATACAACTACATGCAACAAATCTATCTATATAAATAACATGATAAAGACTTTTATGCGCGCATCTCAGAGAAAACTATTGGGTAGATTAAATTAATTCTTCTTGGTTTGATTTCATAAATACCTGGCCCTCATGTGATATGTTTATTTATTTATTATTTATTATATACTTTATTGTACACCACAAAGAATTTGATACAATTAGTATGAAATAAGTCTTAAAAGCTAGGTACAATAAGGCGGTCTTATCGCTAAAAAGCGATCTCTTCCAGACAACCTTAGGACGAGGAAAAATAAACTAATGAATAGTGGGAGGTGGTGTGCTCAATAAACTTACTTAATACCAAAATAGACTTAAATATAATAAGATAAACAAAATTATAATAAACATACATAAACATAAATAAATATATAATATATATAAATAAATACACGAGAGAAGAATTAAATCTGAATATTGCCATTAAAAACTATGGATTACAAAGCGATAGATAATGTTGTTTTACGTCAATTTTAAACTTGTCTAGCATCTTCGAACGACGAATTTGCTGAGGAAGTTCATTCCACAAGCAGATGGCCTTAACTGTAAAGGAGTTCTTATAATATTTAGTTTTGTACGCATGTGGTGCTAGAATTAGATCTTCAGCTGATCGCAGAACTCGTTCTGGATGGTTATGGCCAAGAAACTTAAAGTGTTCCTTTAAATAGCTTGGAGTCCTAGGGTTAAATAATACACAGTACAGAAGAGAGACAGTGTGTAGATTCCGGCGAAAACGAATGGGTAACCACTTGAGCATTGAACGAAATTCGGAAACGTGATCATATTTGCGTAAACCAAATATGAACCTAATGGCTAAATTTTGAATACGCTCAAGTTTATTTAGTTGTTCTTCGGTTAAATCAAGATAGCTTGCATCCGCATAATCGAGAATGGACAGGAGTAAGGATTGTGCTAGCATAATTTTAATTGGAATGGGAAGAAAAGAACGTAAACGACGGAGAGAACCCATCGCAGCAAATGTTTTTCGGCTCACTTGATTCAATTGTTCCGACCACGAGAGGGAATTGTCAAATTGTTATTTACTGAATTTATTTTATTAATGTTTACTGAATTTAAAGATGATAAAGTTTTAAGAATCAACTTTTTTCACGATATAACTTTACACACTTCGTGTATAATGACGTGTGTTTTCTTGCTGTGGAGAAGTTTAGCAAGCGGTGTAGTTGTTAATGTAATAAGTAGTCGTAGGTATCATTTGGTTGATAACATTTCGGCCTTCCTTTCCTGCCAGATTTGCCTGCCAGACGCCGGCAATTTCTGACTTTGTGTTCCTGTGCGCATAATGAACCAGGCAAACCGCTTGGACCAGTACAAACACACGTGGTGTGTGTATAATGCCGATAACATTTGTAGCTTAGATTCTCATCAATGTCAGATTAATGGAAATAATCACGGAATTTGCTTATTATGTTCTTACATTCCACAATCTAGAATTATTGATAACAAAAAAATAACCAATATAACTCATGTAATAACTATAATAATAAATAATATCATAAGATACGAGAAGTTGCAAAAGTAGTAGGGTTTGGTGTTTCTTGGCGTGTCCTCTCTTGGAAATTAATTAGTCATGTGTACAACCTGTTTCAGGAACTCTTCTGTTAATGATTTGGATGATGTGGGCGGTGATATGTGTTTCAACAACAAGACTGCATCCATTCTTAGACAATGATGCTATTTATGATTCGCCTTTGAAGAATAATTTGGTATTCATCAAAGTCCGTAACGCTGGTATCGGCAATAATCTGAATGTATGTAAATACTATTTTTGAATTCGTTTGTAATGAAATATGAGAAATACTAAAAGTGAATAATTTTAGACCATAAAAATGGTCTTTAACACGTTTATTGCCAATCGATATATAATTAGAGTGTTTAAAATCTTATTTACATAATATAAAAGTAAATAAGTGACGTATTGAGTTATATTGAGGAAAATAAACACTAAATAGAATAAAATTTTTTTGCCCATCGCACTAAAATTAAAAATTTTCTGCATGGCAATGAACGTGTTCAAGAAAATTGTTAATTTAAAATTGTGAATTTTCGTAGATAAATGAACAACTAACCTAAGCGGTCGATAGATAGATAGATCTCAGCGATATACACATGTGATAAATCAGCACTTAAAATTAACAATTTCATTGGTGCCGGCACCGGGGATATAACGCAGGTTGCTCGGGAATATATTGAATGAAGAGCGAGTGCCCGGTCAATGTGTTATCACATATATTGTAAAATGCAACACAAACACAACAGATTACTATCATCTTTAACTATACATAGTTGTCTCTTATGGTATAATAGGTGACCCCGTGGCGCAGTCGTCAAGGTGTTGGCTTCGGCGTCGGGGGTCGTGGGTTCGATTCCCGCACGGGACAACTATTTGTGTTACCAACAGATAGTTGTTTCGCATCTGGGTGTTTGTTCACGTGAAATTTATGTATGTAAAACGTCCTTGCAACACAGCATAATGTTATCCTAAAGTGAGGGTAATGTTTTATACCAAAAGAAAAATATTATTAACGCCCTTTTATCAGCATCATGTGTGTCTAGTTTTGTTTACGTGTTTCTTATGAATACGGATACATGTATTCACATAGCTACTAAACTGAAATGTATAAAAATTTTCGTATCTTAGAAAGGTTTTTTTTAATGTTATCAGGCCGCGAGGGAAGATGACGATTTCATAATGGATACGACGGATTACGAATATGTGATGCCTCTAGAGTTCCAAACTAAACGACGCCAGAACCTGTACCCCAGCGTGGAAGTGGGCCCGGGTGCTTTCAAGACGGAAATAATCGAGTACCCGCCAGACACCCTGAAGAATCAGCTCAGCAACCTGATGAGACTTAAAAAGGAACTCGAAGAGCGATCGAAACCTTGATTATTAACTTTGACCCCATAGCAATAAACGAAACAAGCGAAGTTGTCATATTTGATAATGCTATCATGCATGTTGTTTCGTAGACATCACGATAAAAAGCTTAATAAAGTTCCCGAATAAATCATGTGTGTCTCGTCGTGTTTGTATAATTTTCAATTACCATGGTATTTACTATAAGAATGCGACCAACAATAAAAAAGTACAAGTAAAGTAGCAGCCTATAAATGTCCCACTGCTGGGCAAAGGCAGGAGGCCTTTGCGTACAGAGAGTATTAGGGCATAGTTCACCACGCGGCCCCACTGCGGATTGGCGGACTTCACAGATATTCAAAATATTTTTTGTTATTATTTCTAAAATATGCAGGTTTCCTCACGATGTCTTCCTTGAGGACTTCATCCTTTAAGTGCAGGTTTTACACATTTTCACAGGCGAAATATCATCTTAACACCTACACTTAAGGAATAATTAAGTAATATATCGCAGAAATATGAAATCTGTAAGTCCCTAGTGGGAAATCTACTCGTATATATGTAAATGACTCGTATATACGTATCATTTAAATGTTTTTACTACTAACATATACTGTTCATACATAATAAAAGATTATAGTTAATTAAAGTTTTCCATCGCAACGGCTTGCAAGTAAAATACTGCATGTAATGCAAAGTACATAAATCTGATGTGTTTGATAAAATTGTCGAAAGTAACTACTCGATCCAATGCTCGAACAAACGCCGACCGAACTTAAGCCACTGTTACAAAATGACAACAGAACTAATTCCCTATGATAAACGTTTCTATGAATATTCATGAATTTTCGTCGAAGCAAGATCCGCTACAACTCGGGAGTGGTTAATTGTAATGCACGGGAATATAGTTTCAGTTTGGAAACGAGTTAAATTCAGTACTAACTAGCGCGGTGATTCTCTCGCGCGAGTTTAAGAGGATTAAGGCCCATTTACACGGTGCCAGTTTCTTGCCTGTTGTATACAATTAAATTGAAGCAATAAATGAGTTGCATGGTCTAAACAAGAAGTGGTCTAAACAATTATTGCGCGCAATTTATTGCATTCAATTATTGCTCTTGTATGTTCAAGAAAATGGCATCGTGTAAATGGGCCTTTACTCTAGTGCTATTTAAGCGTGCGATGTATAATATTACAGTTGACTTAATTACATAACTTCACTATGCATTTAAGAACTTAGACCCAGCTTTCGCCAGCGTTTTTGCCGAAGTGGTTCTTTTGAAAGTGTTAGGGTTAATTTTTAACAAAAAAATGTATGAGATATGGAAATCCACCCCGGATCATCATATGTGATACATTTTTTTTTTCAAGAGACTAACCTGACTATGAAATTATTTTTCAAATATTATTCTAAATTTCATAAGTTACAACATTGATGATATCGTAACTCCTTTCATGAATACAGTCAACAATTATCAAGCGTCGGAAGTATTTTTTCTGCCTGTTGTCCTATTCAACAGTTGCCATATTCGGTTTATATTAAAGAATAAGCCATTTCATAAAATTATCACACTTTAGAGGAGTTCTGTAGTAGTAAAGTCAGTATTTTACTATAACTTGTCGTAATTACGCGAGCTTAAATGTACTTAAGAGCTGAAGCTTAGTTAAATTATGAGAGTTGTTTAAACGTTGTGGATTTACGATTTGATATAGAGTTTAAGTTTGCGTTTTATACTCGCTTTTACTTTTTAGAGCTCAACAAAATGGGAGGAGCTGAGAATTTTGATTATCAATACTAACTTCTGACAGATCTACTCAAGACATGTACGAAACATAAATACGTTTAGTTTCTTACGTCTGTAAATTAAAATTATCTTCTACGGTGAAATATTATAGCCCATACTTCATTTCGATTATTTAAAATAATTTTAAAATAGTTAAGATAGTATAAAAACAATAACTTCCGACTAAATTATGTTTAAATTATAATTTAAAAGTTAAAAAAAGCTTTTAGGTTAAACGCCGTTGGTATTACCGTTTTATTTAACAATATCGGGGCAAAGTTGAGCCCTTATTTTAAAACAGCTGTTGTTTCGATGAAGCAAGTTTGTTCGGAAGTTGGCTGATTGGAAAACTGCCAGTGCGGGGTCCGGTGGTGGAGGAGTTGCACGATAAAATCGAACGGATTTTATTTGAACTAGTCATTAGGAATTTGTGAGCCGAACACAAACTAAAGCTGAGTTACTGCTGTTTGCTAGACTGTATATTCTGAATGGTCAGGGGAAAACTATTCAGTTGGACTAACGGAGAGTTTTGGTCGGAATGCGTGCAGAAGATTTTGGGTCGCAGATTCTATTAATAGTAATAAATGAATATGTAATTTTTTATGCGGTAGCGAATAGACTATGCAACAAATCATTTGAAAAAAAGGTGCACGTTGTTCACATGAGTTACCTTTTCCTATTGAAAATCATTTAAAATAAGGCTGTGTTAAAAAATTCCGTTGCAAAAATAAGGGGTGAAATAAAATAAAAAGCAAAATATGTACGAAACGAGTTACAATGTCCATTGAATCATTTTAATGCTATGTAATACTTGACTCTATATCTACAAAACATCACATTAAGTTTCATTTTGTGTGCAGAGACTCGAACTTAAACTCAAAATATCTTTACTCAAATAGACGCTTCCGCGTTCTTATGAAACGTCAAACTTTACATAAAAATTGATACAGAGTTCGTAAGTAAGTCACCGGTTTGGTAAGCAGTTTCTGTTGACAAGAGACCGGCAAGACTGTCGCTAAAAATAAAAATAATAGCAATAGCGTCATCTCTCGTTGCAAATATGTATGGTTAAATGCTATTTGTAAGGTGTTGCGTGCTAGAAAGTATGCACTCAATATACATTGCTGAAAATACAATAAAGTTAGTAGACAGACGACAAGATTAACTTGGTTAGTAAAGCGTTTTACTCGGAAGACGCGGGTTTGAGTCACGGAGCACCGAAGGTTTTTGAGCATTTACGAGTATCTATAAAAAGACACAGTTTTAGTACTCAAGTCTGGTTAGATTATTTCCTGCCTGGCTTTCAGCAATTTATCCACATCCGTGAAGATGCATGGGTACATGCCTGATATTTCCAATGTAGTAGATATACTTTTGCTTGTTACGTCCTTTATCTCACATTTGTATAATATAATTATTTATAAATGTATAATTTGTTAATTTTAATTTTTAAGTTCGCAACGAATACATCAGCAGTGCAACAAAGAAAACCAGAATAAATCTTTGATAGATAGATTAGCAAGCTGAAGTGGCGATGGGCCGGCCATATAGCTCGTAGAACTGATAACCGATGGGTAAGAAAGATTCCACAACTAGATGGAGTGACGACCTGTGCGACCTGCAAGTGTGCGGGAAGTCGATGGATGCAGGTGGCTCAGGATCGTGCATCGTGGCTGTCCGTGGGGGAAGCCTATGTTCAGCAGTGGACTTAAACAGGCTGAAATGACGAGGATGATGCATTTTTCAATTTATTTCTTTATGACGTCCCCTTGTATCATCATGTCTAGTAAATTCAAGTTCGTTTTTGAAGAACATTTAGCATTGAACTTGACTGAAGGGAATCGAAAGGATACTTGATATCTTCTTAGAATCATGTTTTTTTCTTTCTATAGACAATGATAGATAGATAGATGATGTTAAAATGATAAGTATATTGAATAGGGTTATTAATATTGTATATTTAGGTGGGTATTCACCTAAATATTACAATTAAAGTTAGCTTGCCTGAGAGGTAAGTATTTGTGACCGATGGAACTAGAATAAATCATATTTCATTTAAACAAATCAGTTTACTGCAATACTTTTATTTTCAAATAAACTGTTAGTTTGCTTCGATGACAAAGCATTCGATATCTTTGAGTGAAATAAGGGTAGCGGATCCAACCGCAGTTTGCACCCGTTTTATTTTTCTAGATAAATATAAGGCAAATGCATTTCAATTGCGTTTCCAGCATGAGTGCATTTGAATGTACACAACGATAGACGTTCCGTCTTCATCCGTTTGGTTCAACGAAGTTATATTTCTTTTATGTTATTGCAATGTACTTGAAACATGATTAAAAATGGAGAAATTATATTTCTTTTGCATCCTGTTGTACGGCATCCTGTTTGCATCCTGCTGTTCACTGTTGCACATTTGGGCAGGTCCATCCGGGGAAGTAGCAAGTCCTCAGATCTATATGAAATGTATATGGGACTATTTCGGAATGAAACAGTTTCGAACAAAAAATAATTTTGCAAATCCGTCTATACATGACGAAGTTATGCTCGATCATACACAAAAAAATATATAAACATTCGAATTGATAACCTCCTTCTTTTTGAAGTCGGTTAAAAAGAAATATTACATTTTAGATTTCAAAACCAATAATTCGTGTAAGATTTTCAATGACGATTTTTTCTAAAATGTTTTAAATTGACATAATGCTTGCTTACGCTTTCCTTATTTGTATAGACTGTAATTATAGTTCACGAAAGAAAACTTACACCAACGGCAGCACGAGTTGAAACCGTTTTGCGTGGTTCTAAAGGCCGGTGTTTATTTAGTGTTACAAAGTGGAACGTACTGTTTAGTTTACGTCTAGACATATCCACTCGAGCGGTCCCAAGTCGCCCGCCCTCGCCCCGTTCATTCTGCGAGTGTGTGCCTTTATTCCTTGCGGTGATATTTCTGCTTAAATCACCCCGCTCAATTCAATACGTCTTTCCAATGCAACACAGGGAAAAAAAACTTTTTCTTATTATGCTTCTATTATATACGCAACCGTTTGACGCCTCGTTTAGAATAATTACTAAGCAAAGCCCCCGGGCGTAATGGGTTCGATTACTGCATCGATTTATTATATATTTACTGCATCGAGTTATTGATAACTAAATGGCCCAATAATTTAGGTGGTCAGAGCTGGGCTATTTAGTGAGTGAGAGGGGCCGCGGCTGCGTTCCTGTAGGAGATCCCGTGGGTGAGATCTAGGGACTGAAGGTGACTAACGTGGGAAGTTAAGTCGTTAGGAATCCGACATAACCTGTCTACCCGTCCTGTTGGATAGAAAAAAAAAAGTGTCATAAATGTGGACCGACCTGTAAAGAATTATTTGAAAAATATCTGAACTGTACATGCTGCGTCTGGAATTCGAGGCAGGCTATTTGTACAAAGACAGCTTTTGCCCAGGTTTGGGATATAATTACTAAAACATAAATTATTGTATGTACATTAAATTGAAAATATGTTAGTTTTTCTTTACCATAAATATTTGGAAGTGAATTCGAATATGTGACGTCAAAACTTACGTATTTCGCACGAAAATAAGGTTCAATGCCAGGCTATTTTAAGGACGTTTGAAGTTTATAAGATCATAATTTTGTACAGATTATTTCATTCATACATTTTATTTTCAGCGCTGTTTTTATGACATTATTTAATCTCGTCCCACCCAATCTCTTTCATATAAACACATGAAAGAGATTGTGTGGGTGCATTCAGTATATTGATTGTGTGGGCGCTTTGATAAACAAAATGATAGTAAGCGCCTAACGGTCCGTAGCGAGATATTTTTCAAAGTTTTTAATAACAACGTAATTAAGGCTCAGTAGGTACTTAGATCTTAATTCGTATCTTAGGTTGCACAACTTGCTATTTGGTACTTTTCCAAATAGAAAAGGAAGTGGAATATTTTTATCTATTACACTTTCTCAGACTGTGTTTTTGTTATTGTAATAAGAGATTGTGAATGATTGGCAATTGGAAACCCTCACAGCTGGAAACTGTATATATCTATTATACTGTATATAACTGTATATATGATTTAATAATATTTATTTTAGAAGACGCAGATTCGAAGTCTGGTAGAGCAGAGAGCCGTGATAGCTCGGTGCCGGCACCAATAAAGTTTTTAACTTTAATTGCTGACTTATCACGGGCTCCGCGGTGAAGGAAACCATCGTGAGGAAACCTGCATATTTTCGGATATGTGAGGTCCGCCAATCCGCAGTACGGCCGCGTGATGGACTATGCCCTGATACCCTCTGTACAGAGGAGGCGAGAGTTATACTTTACTTTTTTTAGACATTTTAAACTATTAAACTCATTGAAAATAAGTTGCCAAAAACATTACCTAATGTTATCGTTTAAGACAATTTTAAATATTTAAAACTTTTTTTACGTGGTCTTCAATTTCTTCAGATTCAATAGCGGTCTATTTGAGGTTTCAAATACTAGAGGTGGGAAGGTACAACGAGGATTCTTTTTTGAACTTTTTACATTACTTCGTTACCTGGACAGTGTGAAGAGACACAAAACAAACATCTCATATTCCGCCTTCAGAAGATCAGTGGAAAGTAACATCACTTTTCAAATGAAACACCTAAAAGATATTTCGAATTAATCCGAAATAACATTGTTTACAAACGTAGCTGAGAATATGAATTCCTCAGCACATGCAGCGTCCGGGTTTGACGTTGCGCAACTTTATATCTTATTCGTCTTCAATTCTGTAACAGTACATTCTCATTTTCCACCAAGACGAATATAAATAAACTATGATCCCACGCCGAGAGACGTGGATGCATTGTCATAGAATACGTTGGAATCGGATGCGGTGCAGAGAAATCTTTTGAGTTTGTTTTGCGAGCATCGCCTATTCTGATATTATAAAAGGATAAAACTTGTGTGTAACGAGAATTCTCAGAAACCACTGAATAGATCGACATATTTTAGTAGTGCTCAGCAGTGTTATTTTATAGTAAACTATTGCTTTAACTGAATTTAAATAAAAGTAAATTTTCAACAAACTCCCAACAAAAAAGATAAAATATTGTCAGTTGCCTGCAAATTTTATAGATATTTGTTGTTTTAGTATACGAGCAGTTATGGAATTTGCCAATTTTATATGGTGAAAGTATTCTATTCTAATTATTTGGGATTTCTTAAGTCAATTAGTTAAAACGAAGTCTGTACTGGCTCTTGCCAGGTTTATAAATTCGTAAGAAAATTTATCATTTCTCACTTTCATTTTTATTTTGAGTAGAAAACGGTTTTATTTGTAGGACAATACTTGACGATGACTTTTCTAAAAAGGAAATCAAGTCAGAAACATTAACAAGGTCTTTAAACCACCGAACTATCTTGGATTTTCCTGATTTTTCCCCATGTGAATATTACCGTCTCGCTATCCTATTTATACAGCGTGTCGTTACCATCGCGACAATAAATGAACACACATATAGGGGATAACTTTTTAAAGTTGTATTAAACATTTAAATTCTTTAAATGCTATAAATATTGATGTATATTTATAGAGTTATTAAATTTTCCAAAACAAAGAATTTTAGAACACCCTTACCTATAAAAGCGTAACGTAAAGTTCATTTGTAAAGGTCACAAAGCACATGAATGGGTTGAATGAATTTAAAAGAGACAAAACATACTGTTAGAAGGAGAGGCTTGTAATACGACGTTGTGGCGCGAGTTGTATAGGATGTTACAAATTTTGTTTCTTTTTTACTTAATTAGTTTGTTTGAAAAATATTTTTTTTAAATTATGGATTTTGTTTAACGTTAATATGTTTTTATGATTGTTGGCAAGTAGCGTTAGACGTGTGTTCATTTATTGTCGCGATGGTAACGACACGCTGTATATGTGTTGAGGTAATCCTATTTGCGTACGTCAATGGTTGGTAAAATTAGCAAAAAGGTTTAACGACGCTAAATGTTGTTCGGGTGAAGACTGAGATGGATGGTATTAACAGTATGACACAAAGTTTAATATGTCACATATATGACAAACAGCTCATAGACTGTCTAGGAGTCTGTTATATTTCAGTTTGTTAAGTTGTATAAACTTTCCTTATAAATAAGAAAACCAATGCTACTGCAATGATCCGAAGCGATAATCTTATATATCGTCGTCCCTTTCATTATGACGTGTAGTATTGCCAATAGAAAAGACCGAAACAAAAGAACATGATTTATAATCAATGGATAACAAACGTAAAATAACCTTTAAATTCCATTTGAAATGGCAAGACTTCCTTTTCTTTTCTTAATAATCTTTGCATTGCCCACCCTTAGCGCAAATTTAACCGACACTTTCGCACATAACTTCAACCCATATGCCGACCACGTGCGTTTCATCCTTCGCTCCCCGGATAAAATGCACGCTATATAACATCGGCGGGCGCTCTTTCGGCGCGCAGTCCCATCACGCCCGTCTAAATTAAGCTCGGCCTCGGCTCAACATGCGTGCGCGCACAACTGATCGTTGCCCGACAAAACACGCGCGCGGTGCTCACCGTACGTCTTACACCGAATATTATAGACCCACCTACGGCCGCACGGACTTACGGACGGACCGCTTACGGACACCACCAAAACGGCCGTTCACCGCGTACGGACAGCATGGTGAGTTGAACTGCAGGTCCGAAAATAGAGCGCGGACTATCTCCTCGTGCTTCCACATTCTCGATTGTGTAACGTCGTACGTACAAAATTAAATCGTGCTCTGTTTCCAGTCAGTGATGTGAATTGTATCCAAATTTTCATATGAAGCCGGAGAAGCAGAATGAAGTTCACTATAGATGTGTTGGGTGTGTTCCTAAAAGTGGTGATTAAGGTAAGCACTGTTATTTATACCCCGGCGGGAACTATTTCCGTCGCCAGCCACTAGGTCTAGGCCGAATCAGTTAGTTTATTGGGTCGAGTTCGATTACGTAAAGCGCATCTCGTTTGTAGATCGGCCAGTATTAATAACAAAGTCAATGCTAATGGTTCACCGAATGCGGTAACCTTAATGGCCATATATAACAGTATTGTTCGTGAATCACATTACCTTCCTTTTGTTAAAGCAATTGATGTTATATATGAAATAGCCAGATAGCATATCGCCAAGGCGTTGGATCTGTCCCAAGTAATATCAGAAATGTTTGATGACCATAATTTGTTTTTAACCTGTACTAAATTTACATTAACGATTAAATAAGTTGTCTACAAATCTAAAAATAAGTTTTATAGTTGTTCAGTTTCTTTGAACTTTTTACTACAATAATATTTGTTAAACAAGAAAATAAATGTGTGTTTACTAAGGAAGCAACTTTGTATCTTATAAACTTAGTTATGGTTGTATGAAAAGTTATTTTATAACCAAAAAACCAACTGCGCGTCTTTTGCTGTTTATTGTCGCATTAAAAACAGTAGTGTAACTGTGGTAGAGCAACGCAGCAGCCTCGGCTGTTGCACGAATGGGCAGGATCGTCCGGGTAAGTTCCACGACCTTACAGAAGACCGGCGTAAAGTGCAAGTATAATACTTTCGCGGTTCGCCTGGTGAGTGAGGTAGCCGGAGCCCAATTTTCAAAAGGTTGTCAACACATCTGCAACCCTCGGGTGTAGCAGATGTCCATGGGCGGCGGTATTCACTTAACATCAGGTGAACCACCTGCTCGCTTGGCAACTTATCACATTAAAAAAAGTAGTTAAAAATCTTTAAAAGGAACGCCTTAATCTATTGTTTTATTCCGGATGGACGGCTGTGTTGCGTGACTTTGCATATCAATTATGTATAATGGAAACAGTAATTACTAGGAGCACGAAAACGGATACTGCGTTAGAAAACAATACAAACAGTCGGACGTCTGTTCAACTCTTATAATATGATAATGAAATAGGACTGTATTGAAGTTAAAGTCTTAGATTAACATGCATTGAGACAATCCTTGCAAAATGAGAAACGGCGATTCGGTTCGTATGCGAAAAATCGATCTAGCTAGGTTTCATTTTTAGAAAATATCCTTTTATCCCTGTTTTCAGGGAATGAAAAATATAATTCGAATATGACGGTAAGTTTCGCCGCAAGAGAAAATGTCATAATAGCTCGGTCGGTAATCGGGCAGCCCCAAAACAGACGGCCGTGGTTCGCGTCACGATCATATTTACACATTAATTTTTTACTTTTTTTTCGATTCCAGATCATTGCTTTCTTTATTTTTAATTTTTTGTCGATTTGTTATTTTGATATTTTTTTTCCCTTTTTTTTAAAGTTCTTTCTTTTGTGAAAAACATCAGTTCATATTTTCTTATTATTACGTCAGTAAGATCGAAAAATATTATGCATATTTCATTACTCAGTAATTTGTATCTAAATGTAATTTCCAAAATACACGATGTACCAAAAAAAAAACAAACCTCCGGTCCTCCGGGTACTTTAATATTAATTGTGCAGATAGTAGACCGTAGACCGCGACTCAAGGTATTAACCGGTAGATAAAAATTGCCTTTGATCACTATCTCATTGTATATAGAAGTTATTTGTTTTCAGAGTAGAACAATTCATTGAACAAAAAATATCTGCAATATTAAACATCAAACTAAATTACACGTTATCTAATACACCCAGCCCACGCGGCATGATGCCTGCATTTTCTCGCTGAATAGTATTATTTATTTCGTCAACGACAGCAGAGCAACGACACTTTTATCGCCACATCATCGTCATCATATCAACTGTAGGTCATCCACTGCTGAACACGGCCTCCCCCATTGACTTCCACTTCAAACGATCGGTAGCGGTCGAGTCCCTGCGATCTTTACTAGGTCGTCCGTCCACCCGTGGGCCTGCCTACGCTACGCTTGCCGTCACGTGTACTCCAATCACGGACCATTCTGCCCCGACGGCCAGTCACATCGGTGATTCAATTAAACACAAAGCACCCGTCTCAATCCGAGCCCATGTATATGCAAGTATCTGAACCAGTGTCGAATTCAAATGCATAGCGAACGGTACGGGCCGTAGCTATTACCAGCTGAAGTCGCACGACGTATGCGCCAGCGATTGATCCCCACGTCGGCGTCAGTACGTTGCGACGACGGTTAAATCTGCATTAGAACACACAGACCCGAATCCCGCTACAGGAAATTTGTTTACTACTAAATTTAAGTATGCTTTGAGTAATTTCGTGCAAAATAATGACTATGCATGTTTATTTTATGTTACAAGTGGCATAAATTTACTGATGATTGGATTAACTGTGTTGCACCACTAAACTTGACCTCTACGATACCTACGAGCCTCTACGATAGCTTAGCAACTGCGCCGCCGATTCATCGTCAAATTTTGATATTAATTATTATAAAATGTGTCTGTGTGTACTTATGAAGTTATCCTTCATTAGTATATAAAAAAGAAAATAAACTAAATATTTCATCCCGTATGCGATAGGTTAAAGTTGCAATGCATCTGCAAGCCATGGCATGTTGTAGATGCCCATGGGTGGTGGTATTCACTTAACATCAGGTGAATCGCTCGCTTGAAAAATTTTCAGGTAAAAAATAAAAAGAATGTTAGTAAACTTCATATGGAATAAAATATACAGGCGTATGTTCTTCCCTTTGCTATCTTCCGCCAACTAGTCTACGGTGCCGTGTAAACATTTCCGGTGCCACTGAAACTAGGTTTCACAAGTTGTAAAACGGCATAGCAGTGGTAGTAACTAGTGTATGGCAAATTTGCGTCGCTTCCGCGAACCGAGGCTAGCTCCAATAGTGTGCAGACACTTTATTTGAACTAGAAATATCATAGATTTGGTAAATTTGACTTAATAATGTTTGTTATTGCACCCTATTTCTGACAGTGATATTTGATTCCTAATGATAGTTTATCGTTCCACTATACTTGATAAATCGCACACAAATAACTTTTATGATATTTACTTGAGGAATTAGTCCACATGTCCAAAAGACATGTTGTTATATGTAGAATGTTCTGATGTTGGTGCGTATTTATTATGAAAATAAATCATAAATAATTCATATATTTCTTTATTAAATGGTATTCTCCATATATTTATTATTCCGTTACGCGTTAATAATAGTACATAATGATAGTATACTAATTATTCAATATGTTTACATTACATAATGTAAACGTATTGAATAATTGGTATACATTATGTAATGTAAACATATTGAATAAATAACATTAAATTTGCTTGGAATGAATACTGGCGAATAAAGATTGAGTGATTCTTAATATTGAATTTGCTTCAGGGATAAGCACAACACTAACAAGTGAATTTTTACGACCAACTGAAATTTTCTAAAATATTGTAATAAGATAAAAATTAGATAAAAATATCTATTAGAGAATAAAAAGAAATTATTCATAATTATTTATTTAATAAAACATATAGGTTATTTTATGATGAAAGTTGTTACTACTTTTATTAAAACTTACTTTTATTGTTATTTCTTTTTACTTTATTTAATTCTGCATACCTATCTATGGAGAGTTGGAGACCATAGACGTGTTAACAATATTTATGTATTTGACTGTTCTAAACAGTTGTAACGATACTAAAACTGAAAAGTAAACACGATTTATTCGACTTTATACTTTTTTATATACTTTTGATTTATACTTTTTTTATAGATTCAAAGTTTTTCTTTATTTACTAAACTAGTTGAACTCAGTCACTGTTCACTGTGGCTTTTTTACGTTTGCGTTAGAACTTTGGCATGAAAAGTATATAGAAATAATCGGCCGCTCAATAGTTTTTTTTATGATAGGGTTTTGAACAAATATCAAGTTAATTCATTGGCTTGTTTTTGAGTTTTATGGAAACAAACATATTGCCCAGGTATTGGCTTCTGCGTCGGAAGTCGTAGGTGTGATCCCCACACGGGACAACTATTTGTGTGACCCACAGATAGTCGTTTCGCAACTGACTAGTTGTCCATGTGAAATTTATGTTTTTAAAACGTCCTAACAGCACAGGATAATGCTAGTGTATGTAAAGGCAATGTTTTAAAAAGAAAGAAGAATGTTCTTAATTTAAGCAACTGCTCTCACCGTTACAGATCAACAAAGTGACGTTCGCGCCACTGGTGGTGTCCACATTGTTTATCCTGCTGACGTCACTGTTGGCTCACTGCGCGCGAAGAGCGGTCCAGAAACTAGTCAAGGAGCCCTTTGTGAAACTCCTCTTCGAAGAGGCGATCGCCGCGGCAGAGCTGTGCGGCTGCTGCTTCGAGCTAATAATCGGTGAGGAATCCTAGAAAGTTCTCTCTTTAAAAGAATACCCGCCACTGAAGGTTAATATTAGCCACTATCATGGGTTTTATAAAGTAGAACTTGTTACGTCTACAAGTAGAATATAATAATAAAAAACTAAAAACCCCGACTGCGTTTTTGTGTGACTTTTTATTTCATTATATCCAGTGTCCCTCTCACAGTAAATACGAATGTAATGACACCTCTCAAGCTAAAATCCACCAAGCCGTTAAGACTGCAGAGCGTGCCAAAGAATTTTATAAATACATACATACATACTCTCGAAAAACATAACCCGCCTTCTGGCGCAGTCGGGTAAAAACTGCAACCTGATGGTAAATATCACATGCAACATAATCTAAAGCGAGAAGTGAACTAATGAGGTGGGTGGCACATCTTAGCCTATGCCATTGGTATTCATAACTAGGGTTTTGTTTTCGTGGGTTCGATTTCCACTCAGATCATGTATTGTATTATCTACTGACAGTTGTTTTGGATCCATTACTAACTTATTAACTATCATAATTATGGAAACAACAAAACAAGTGCAGATTCTGACGATACAGGTTAGGTGTAGTGTGAGGACTACAAGATACATCTTGTTTTGTCTTGTGCTATATTTCAAACGTATTGCTAAATTGATAAATTTAGAAATACTTATGTTTCAATTGTATATATCTATCGACTATAATAAACTTCATTATTTTCATAATTATGTGGGTATTCGGTTTGGTATAATTTGTGTTCGCAAAACGTCTCTACAACACAGGGAGTGTTTATCTAAAAGTAGGGTTAAATAAAATAAAATATGTTGTGAATATTATTCACCTCATCTGAAACCGGTTTGCAGCCTACAACGTGTTGGTAACTTCGTAAGATGCTGGTAAAAAATATTTAGGTTAAAGCCTGTCACCCGTGAAATTGGGAGGACATTATTACTAAGTTAGTAATTAAGTCTATAAATAAGGATGATTATAAGGTGATTATGTAGTATAAGTTATTCCTTGGGGCATCGGCATTAACTTTAAAGTTGTTAAGGAGACAATCTTATTTATTTGGTCGATTGATTAGATTAAACAATATACAAGGTACATTAATCTTGCTGAATGAATGTTATTAATTACTGTGCATAATATGCAATAAAAATATGTGCAACTTGCTGAGTTAAAACTGCAATATCAAAGTGCTTGATACAGTTCCAGGCACTACTTTAATAGCGCTGTAATAAATCTAGTCTATAATTATTTAAGACATAAATAGCACTTTATGAAGCTTTATTTCACAATTATTGTTATTTAGAGAGAACAGGCTTCAGGGACCACGCACCAATGCGAAAAAACTGTTGATGCTATCAAGTGAAGCCTAGATTGCAATCTGTTCAGATCTAAACCACAGCAGTAGGCAACTGCGTGATTTTGAACCAGAACAGTGACAGACAATGAGTGGATTTAATAAAATAATTGAATGAAAAAGTAAATTTAATTTTAGTTTTAATACTAATTCGCAGTCAGGTTGAAGCTTTAATGTTCAAACGTAACTTTGGATTTTCTTTTAAAAATTAAAATTGTTCACAAGTTTATATAATAGCCCATAATAAAAAAAATCTTTCCCATCCCATAATAAATAATATGATGTCTATTCACAGTTTCTTTTGAAAAGATTGACGAATATATTTTTTTTGTTTCAGTTGCAGACAACTTTGGCGTTGCCACCTACGCTATATATTTGTTCGCTCTAACTATATGGTGGTCACTGAACTGGGGTGATGCAACCGCTTGCCCCTACACTCATATAGAGGATGTGATTGAGGGTGAGTAGATCGGGAATTAAAATAAAAAAAAAACAATTGCGATGGATAAATAATTAACTCGTGGACATCAAAATCCTAAGATCTTTCCTTGTTAGTATTAGATGTCTGGGGATATAGAATCAAGATATGACGAGATCCTTTCCTTAAAATCGTTTATAAAAATATGAGGGGTTGGTGTAAATTTCCGAAATCCCTAAGACTATTACTATTTTTCATATTACTTAAAAGGATCTAGTATAAGTTTAAAATTATAAGCGTTTTTAGGGTTCCGTACCCATAGGTTAAAACGGGATTACTAAGACTCCGCTGTCTGTCGGTCTGTCACCAGGCGGATGAAATTTTCACAGATGATGTATTTCTGTTGCAGCTATAACAAAAAAAAAATATTTAAGTGGGGCTCCCATTCAACGGACATAACTTTTTTGCCATTTTTATAGATAATGGTACGAAACCCTACGTGCACGACTCCGACTCGCACTTGGCCAGTTTTTAATTGTTGTGTAAAAAAATCCAATCAGTAATCGCAAGACCTATAGCATTTTTATAGTTAGATTAAGTAAAGTAAAGTAAAAGTAAAGTAACAGCCTATACATGCCCCATTGCTGGGCAAAGGCCTCCTCTATACAGAGGGCATCAGGGCATAGTCCACCACGCGGCTCCACTGCGGATTGGCGGACTTCACATGTTTTCGAAATATATGTATATATATTTTTTGTTATTATTTCGAAAATATGCAGGTTTCCTCACTATGTTTTCCTTCACCGCAGAGCACGTGATAAGTCAGCACTTAAAGTTAAAAACTTCATTGGTGCCGGCACCGGGGATCGAACTCAGGTTGCTCGAGTATATTGAATTAAAGGCGAGCGCCCGGACACTGAAATAAATGTGTTAAGTAAATCGTTCACCGCTCCGCTAAATAACAGCATTTCATTATACTTTTTATTTAAATAACTATAAAATTATATAAAATGTCTAAATTGTAGTTAATATTGACTTCTCAAATATGGAAAGACCAAGCTAGAATTTATACTGGAGCTTAAGAATAATCTATGCATTTATTTAAATTGTTTGCAGGCAAAGGTGATATTCGAAAAGCGTTACTGAAAACATGGGCAGAACTGACTGGTGGTTTATTGGTTTTCAAATATATACAGATGTATTGGGCATTGGAAATCTCTGAAACACACAAGGACAGGGCATTTGAGGATTGCAAGGCAGACTTACAGGTGAATAATCTAATACCAACCCGTTTTAAATTTAAATAATAAACGCGTAGCTTCTGTAGAATAATAACAATTTATTTGCGAAGATTGGATGTCGGTATTAGGATTTAATGGCATTGCCAAAATCATAGTTCAGTCTATTACAAAATTAAAAAATTGTAACCAATTTACGTTTGCACCAATAACGGAAACAATAAACGTAACATTCCAAAGAGAATGTAATCACTACGTTTAGAACATAACGTAACATTCCTTGGTTCGTTTGGTAACATTTCTTAAATAGCCTTTGCTGAATAGACAAAAAAAAAAGTAGACAAATAGGCATTCATCTACTTTTTTGTCAGGAAACAAAAGAGGTTTGATTTAGATTATAAAGCCGTCATGCTTCTTATGTTCCAAAAAATAATTATTAAATTAAATCAGTTTATAATAAGGCCTTCACATTGTGCTGCTTATAAGGTTTAAAAGAGCATTATTAAATAATTGTACAAGATAAGTGATATGGCGGTATCTTCTTGACAATCACAAGAAGTTCTTTTCATTCCAAATGATATTCCTTGTTACATGTTTTATTTAACACGTGTTACTAAACTTGCACCTGAAAACGCATCGGTGTTCCAATTTACACCGAATCGTATAATTGGTGCTAAAATATATTGCCCTTTCCAGACAAGGCAGCATTTTTATAGATGCAATGTTCTAGAGTCCGTTAGGGTACATAATGATTAGTAAAGCTTAAAATGGCTTTATTTTCCAGTGTCATTATGCAGTATCTGCCGTCTCAGAAAATTTTAATCCGGCGCCTCTTATGCATTGTTCCATTTCTATATTTATTTGCTAAATTGTATAATAAGATTTATTTTCATATCAATTTATAGTATACGCTAATTATTATTAATATTATATAAATTTAAACTTAGAATCTTTAATGAAATGACTTAATCGCATATATTTTTTGTAATATTCACTTATTTATATTTGCAAGCTACTATAAATAGTTAGTGGCTATACAAGTGGAACTAAAAATAATTATAATTGTACCATCATAAATTGTACCTCGTGTAATGGCAAATAAATAAATAAATATAAGGTGACTAAAAAACAAAAGAATAATAAAATAAAAAAAATTATGCACAAAACACGTCTGACATTTGCAAATAAAAGTATAATCAAATCCTTTAAAGTTCTAGAAGTGATAACTATTGTTAAAAAAGGTTTTAATTCAACGTAATTATGAAAATGTTCATACCATGAGACCTTAATAATTATTAGAACTCATCAAATTATTGAAAGATTTTCATATAGTTATAATGGAAAGGTCACAATAAAATCATATTGTGCTTTGGTCCAACGAATAAAACTGTCCCACATTTGAGTTCTTCTGTCCCACATACCATGACCAGGTTAGTTTGAAAGGAGCTTGGTAATTACCATTACTTAAGTTCCAATATATGCTTGTAGGTTCCAGTTATATATGGTGCTATTGTAGAGGGAATAGCGACTTGTATGTGCCGGCTTGCGTCTAAGTCTCTTGGTGATTTGAACCCACGTTTCGCAACAGCAATCGACTCATTCATTGGAACGTCACTTGTGGTTGCAGGTAAAGCAATGACACTCATATGGACTAAACACGTCTCTCGATACGTCAACTCTGTCATCTCGGCATATTAACTTGACAATAGTTCACTGTAAATTTTCATTTAGCTGAGACCGGCTTTAAAAGTCACTAATGAAATAAAACAATGGTTTCAACACCGATAAAGTACTGTATCATATATTGTTTCTGTATTTTGTAAGGTATTGTTCATCACCACCAGTCCGAATTTAATACCGTCTGAAAATAAGATAAGATGAAGGCGTCATGGCGTACAAATTCAATAACCAATTTGTTTGTATATTGAAGCTTAATTGGGTAAGCTTCAATATACAAACAAAGTCAGTGTAGTAGCTCAGTAACAGTTATATAGTACCCTAATAAATCCAGCTGTTCTGAAGTTATCACGGTTATAAAGCAACAAACAAAAAGCAAAAATAATATTCATGTGGACTAAACTTGTTACTGCAAAGACTTAGTTTATCTTTCTGGACGTAAAACTGCTTTGAGTTTGTAACTCGTGTTACAGCATCCATAGTGTATACTTATATATACTAACACTGACTCGTCCAATACTTATGCGCACGTTCGTGTTGCAGGGGTCCTCGCTAGGCACGCGGTATACGTCTACCGCTATCAGGACAATAGTGCTAACGCGGACCTAAGCGTGTCCATCTATTGCAAAGTACATTTAGGAAAAGGTACATCGATGTAGTGAAATAACTAAACGCACATTAACAGCCACATATTCATATGAGATGCATGTTAGGTCATGTCTCATTGTTTTGTCATTTAATTGTTCATTAATAATACTTTAAAATTTCATTGTTTAGAACATTAGGCATGGGCATAATCTAATTTTAATCGTCGGAATTGTTTATATTCGTTTAAATTTAAGGTGGGTTTGATTGAATTTATTGTTATGTTTATTATTATCTGATATTTTTAGTAAATATTAGGCGATTGTTAAAATTTACAAATGATAAATTCTGAAAATGTAAAAATGTAAGTGAATTGCTCATCTCATTCTGTTTTAAGATTTAATTTTTACTTGAAAATTTGGGCACAACTGTCTCTGAATCCTTTATGACTATGCTACTGTTTTATTCTACGACAATTTTAGAATTTTCTCTTTTTTATTGTTGTATTTATTGATAACTTTATTGTTCCAGCTTTCGACTACTCAGGTGGATATTTCAACCCGGTACTGGCTACCTCATTGAAGGCTGGCTGCAAAGGCCATACGCTGCTAGAGCATGCCGCAGTTTACTGGGTCGGTGCTTGCACCGGATCTATTCTCTCCGTCTACCTTTACAAGTTGCCAGCGATCCAGAAGTTCGTCAGAGGCACCGCCGATATGAACGGCGACAGTATTTGGGCCGACAAAGAAGATTAATCTCGAGTTGAGAGAAAACGAAAGGGATCGTTATCGATGCTAGTCATTTATATTCAGGGTCTGAAAATCGAAAATAGCATTATCGTTGTCATTTATCGATTTGAATGTCTTCGTTATACTTGTATTTATTATCGAAAAGTAATATTTTATACAGAACACAGACCGCAAATTGCGCGATTTGTTATATTATTGTGAATGTTGCTATTGTAACTTATTGTGTATAAATGTCATTGGGAAATATAATACGTGCAACGTATTTCGGCCTTTGAATTTAAAACATCATTCATACATCATATATGTGCACTGACGGCTCACCTGATTTCAAGTAATTACCGCCTCCTATGAACATCTACAACACCTAAGTGCTCGCAGACTTCGCTTACTTGCCAGACGAAGCCCGAATATGTGAATAATAGCAACAATTAATTGACACCGACTCCAAAAATGTTAGAGATTAGGTAGATTAGTTTACATTTTCAAGATTTGATTACGTTAGATTTAGTATTAAAAAAAAAATTTGGTGATAATATAGTTTTTTAAAGTCGCTCCTTTTTTTTTTTGGTTATTAGTGATTTAATTACTTAGGATTATTAGGAATACTCAGGTAATTAAAATATGGGTAGACTTATCAAAGACGCTGCTCGTATGAGAAAACGGCGTCAAACTGAAACTGGTACTGAAAAAAGAAAAAGATTAAAAGCAAATAAGGTAGAAAATCTCCAAGCATTTCAAATGAGACTGACCAGCGCAAAATATGTTGCTAAAAAGATCCTATATGTTACGTAGGTTAAATGATGAAAGTCAAGAAAATTACAATTTTCTTAGTTCAATTCACACTCGTTTGGCTATTAGTTTATTTTCAAAGATTTGACAATGGCTCAACTTGAATTGCTTTGTGAACGATAAGCAATACCGTTAATAGAAGATTTAGATTTAGCCGATGGAGTTGCAGTTCGAATTTATCCCACTGTCCTGCAAGTAGACGCTTACAATGCACGCAAATGTTTGCTATGAACACGAAAACAGCATATTAATTATGTTTATACGATGTTGTGTTGTGTGATTGCGCAAACCAATGTACATGCGATAGCAGCGATCACGGTCTATCTCCCAAACTCATCATCAGATCTATACGAAATTTATATGGGACCATTTCGGAATAAAACCCTTTCGAACAAAAAAGAGTTTTGTGAATCCGTCTATATATGACGGAGTTGTGCTCGAACACATATAAAAAATATATAAACATCCGAATTGTCGAACCTCTTTCTTTTGAAGTCGGTTAAACAGTAAAATTACAGCCTATAAATGTCCCACTGTATATTGGCGGACTTCTCGTGTCTTCGAAATATTTTTTGTCGATATTTCGAAAATATGCAGGTTTCCCTTCGACTTTTTGCTTCAATCTTGAGCATGTCACAAGTTAACACTAAAAGTTAATAATTACATTCGTGCCAGCACCGAGATTTGAACTCAGGTCGCTCGAGTATATTGAATTGAATTAGGCGAGCACCCCTGAGCTATCACGACTGTGATTACCTGATAATATGAACTTGTGGTCGCCCAGTGGCCGAAACTCGACCATAACTGATTTTAGACGTTAGTGTGTGTAATGTTTTTTTATTGACTTAATGTATTTTTTATACAATTAAAAAAAGTTATAGAAAATTCTATAATATATTAATATAATTATATAATAATTCTGCACTCCTTCTCAAAACAAGGTACAAAGTTTTTGCTTCAAGTATTAATATAATTATATAAGATGAGAATATAAACAGTGATTTATTGATTGAAACGCTTCCAAGGGTTAAATGAATAGTATACTGAGTTAGAAAATAGCATAGTAATTAGCATTAATGTACATAATTCAATTATTAAGATATTAGGTACCCAACATTTTTTTACACTTTTTGAAATGAAACTAAACTATTTTACGGATTATATCGCGTTTAATTAGATTTTTAAATTATTTTTAATTGAACATTAGCAATTATTAATTACAGTGAACGCTGATAAGTCTTCAATCGGAATTAATTAATTTACTCCTTCAGAAAAGTACTTTCTTTCCGTCAATGCCTTTATTCGCGATAACACAGGTGGATAATAAAAAAATGATCGGTACTGCAAAATTTAGAAAATCTGTAGTCATTAAGTTGACAATATATCTATTTGTCTTGTTATGTAAGTAACAGTTGCTTTTAAGTTTTTATATAACGACATTTTAAACATTCTGAGAAACCATGGGGTGTCAGGAAGATCATCTGTGGGTGAGCATATATGCTTGTAATACACGAGGAACAAGATTCTACGCAAATGATCGAAAAAGATTTATATTTCATTATAAATAATTAAGGGAACGCGATTGTGAAACAGTTTTTTCTTTGGGTAATGCATACACATCGCTATGGCTAAAAGAATTTCGAACATTAAAACACTTCTCCGGGTAAGGATCGCTGGGACCTAAAGCACGCCTGAGGAAACCTAGGTCATTGCTGGTAACCCTACAAGCAATGTCAGCTACAATATATCGGGCAAGTTGGGGAGAGCAGCTTAAAGTAATAAATACATCACCTTTTTTTCGTCCCACCTGGGCACCACAGTGGCAACTGTCTTACAACCCTAACTGGGGTAAATTCTCGCGGTTAGCTAACCCAGCACTAACCCTGTGCACTCAAAATGTTGAGCACACTAACCCACTCGAAGGAGTCTCTTCAGGTCAACATTGCACAAAGACTGATCCATACGGTCAAGGGAACGTGAAACAATCTAAATAAATGGTCATAAGGTCAAAATGGTAATAAGATATATCGAAATAAATGTATGTGACACTGTATGTAACTTTCTTTTCATAAGTAAAAAAAATATGTTCATAAAAATATAACTTTCTTTACATACATAGGTATGTTAACTTGTAAATTTGTTGCAGTGCAATCGCATTTGGCTCAGGTACATTGTGCCGTGCCGTTGGACATAGTAACTGAAAAGGTGATTCCCCTCGCTATGAAGAAGCGCCAACCGGCGATAGTCCCTATGATACCTGACAAGGAACCCTTGATAAGTGCCAGAAAATGCTTCGCAACTTTACATTCTGTCGATTTGAGGACGCTTAAAGCAATCTGTAACTGGTGGACGAGATCGCTGTAATAAATCAAAAAATATAAGGAGATTGCAAATCAACGAAGTAATAACAATAACTGAAGTGTTATTTTATAATTTTTGAAGGGAAAGCAAGGAATCTGATGTGAAACGGAAAGCACTTTGAAAAGTCTGTAATAACAAAGTTTCTAAGATAATTAAAACTCAATATTTGTTTTTAAAATATTTGTAAAGTGCGATCTACTAGTGCAAGCTACCTGTGAAGCAGCGGTTGAAAGAAAAGTTCTACCTTACCATATTTCTCCATACTGACACGATATTTATATATGGTTAGATGCAATATACATTTGTATGACGTATGTTCAATAAGTAAATAAAAAAACTTTATAGGCTAGAAGATGCTGCAGCATTAATCGAAAAAAAATTATACCACTCGTATTTTTTTATTTCGTCTGAATAAATGAAAATATGCCTGTTGCCTTGTCAAACTACCGAAGCGTCACGTTGGCGTGTCCATTGCGAAATGGGCTTAATAGAAAATTTTACGTCAAAATGAACTTCAATAAACCGGGAAGTGGAAATAATAGTTATTACGAAAATTAAATTGTATTTCCTATGGTAGGGTCATGCAGTAGCTTCGGCTGTTGCATTTATGGGCAGGCTAATGCGGGAAAGTACCACGGCCTCACAATAGACCAGCGTGACGTGGAAGTGTTGTTCTTTTATTTATTTATTGATTTGAAAACTTTTTGCACAGTAGAGTACAATGGAGGGCTTAACACCAATAAGTGTTCTCTTCCGGTGAACCGACAAATAAGTCGAGAAAAAAAGGAGGTGCGAAAGAGCCACATGAGAAGTGAAAAATATGATTTTGTATGAAATATTACATACGTATAAATATACACGCATACTTCTTTCGCGTTTCGTCAGTTGAGTGAGGTAACTGGGGCCCATTGTTTAATGTTATAAACGCACCTGCAACTTATCAGGTGTTTTGTGTAACTTTTAACGTAACAAAAATGATGTAAAATGTTGAGCAAAAACGATAATTGAAAAGCTAAACGAATAAAGTATGGCACAAATACAAATTAAAACACATTGGCGTAATGTCGATTGGATAAATATTGGCATGAACGTTTAATTGGATAGGAATGTGTGCTTTCAAAACATCCAAAATTTGATTTCTTTTAAAATGAAAAGGCGATACGTAGGAGTTGCGATAGTTTGGAAATTTTGTTAACTTATCTAAACTAGTGAAAATTTGTTAAGTTTTCACTAGTTTAGATAAATATTGTATATTCGGTGGTACAATATCAATTTGTAGTGCTAAAAGTTAAAAAAAGATTTCGCGTTAAATAGAAAAAACTAAAATGAAGCGACGAGAACGAACGCAGCGGAGAATAAAATGAGTGGAAAACATTTTTAGCCTAGAGCACTTCGCAGGCAGTACTTGTTCGTATTTCGATGTACCGCTAGCTAGATGCGTTTATTTGAAGAATATTTCTAGTTTTTCTTTTTCACTTTTGCGGATATTATCAGTTTTGATAAATATAAAATAAAATATATAGCATCAACTGAATATAAACCTTTAGGGTGGACACAGCGGTAGTCGCAACGGGACAGACTTTTTTTTATAATTTAAGTCATCGACTTCAACTGCCGTGTTGGATTCGATTGCTACACGGGACAAGTATTTTTTTTATTAACATTGCCCTAACTTTAGGATAACAGTATCTGTGTTGTATGGACCTTTTACAAACATAGATTTCACGTGGACAAACAACTAACTGTGGGTCACACAAATAGTTGTCCCGTGTGGGAATCGGACCCACGACGCCGAAGCCAATACCTTGGCAGCTGAGCCACGGAGTCATCAATTTTGTGACTGACCGACAATTGATCCGAATCTGGGCGTTCGTTCCCAAGGAAGTTTGCGTTAGGCCAAAACCACTTAGCCACTTACAACATGATTAACATATTGCAGACCCAACCTTGGTGGGAGAAAGGCAGGAGGACGAAAGGGAAGAGAGAAGGTTGCTTAGTGACGGCCTGGTGTATTCCAATTAGAATTTCGGGAATTAACGAGCTGGATTTCCAATAAAACTATTACCGTTATTTTATCAACGGGTCAAAAGGCTCCAAGCCAGTTACAGTTATGCAGTAGGAAAATAATTAAAATATATTTTCTTCAACTTCAAGAGTTTCAACTAGGAACTACTAAATCAAAAAAGTTTATTCACTCATTTTCCTTGCACTATAGCAGTAAAAAGAAAACGAAAGAAAATATTTTATTTTAAGATTAAACTTTGAAAAAACAATAATACAAAGTTTATAAGTAGGGGATTTGTATGCGCATATTTCTCTTAGTGTACCATACTGTTTGTTTTTTTTCTTTAACAAAGTAAAATCAGGTAAAAGTTTAATATGCAGGATACATAGTATATTTATCCCTAATGGTCTTTTTCGGAATGGGCCACATCCGCGGGAACATATTATGTTCTTTAGCTCTATGAAGGTCTGTGGAGCCAGTTTCCCTGAACTCACTCGTCCCTTCAGATCGCCCCGGACATTCTCTATGCGACGGTATTTCGAGCTGACCAATTCAAACCTAATTCCAACCTCTACTAGAACTTTACGATTCCACATGATCAGACCGAGCGCGGGCGCTGTCGATTATAAAAATTGGGTTTTCACCAAGAGTCACAATTGCTTGCTTGTGCATAAGGGATTAAAACTTTCGATAAATGTCGGTGTATAGTCACTGAACCGTGTTTGATAAAGACTAACTCCACACTGTTCAATGTATTTAGATTTGAATAAAAAAAAAAATTTTTTTCTGGACGGTTATCAAAACTGTTGTTTTACCAATGGGTGCATCAAGGCCGAAAAGGTCTTTAGATTTTAGCCTATTTTCAATACGTTTTATCAGAACACGGAAACTATTCGTCTCTCACCTTTCAAATAATGCTGCCTCCACTTAACGCATAAATTAATGTGAGTCTTAAGGGCAGTTTACTCGACAAAATTGTAATACAGATCCAGGACAAAAGATATGTTGTTTAAACAAGTACTTTCTAATAAATCAACAAAATCTGCTGCTATATAATATATGTTACATTAATAACAATAATATTCAAGTTGTTCATCACAATAAGTTGTGATGGTTTTAAAACAGTATTATTTAATAAGTTATATTTCCACTGTAATATTTATTCCATTAAGACTGTGTAACAAATATTAATGAATTATGTTAGTGTTCGTCCTAATTCTATCACTAACTTAATTCAGATCAAATAACTATAATTATGATACTGTATATTTAGCTTTATATAAAAGTAATAAGACATAGTCAAGTTGCGGTAAATTTCCGCATAAAATTCATTCTATATAATAAGTTTGTATTGAAGTACTCTCCGTGTAAGAGCGAATAATCAAGCATATCAAAAGGCAGCGCAAATAATTATTGAATGAGTCTGCGGTGGTAAATATTTTCTAATATAGAGAAAGGTCCGCTACGTATGTTACGTACACAAAAAGCTTAGACAAATTAATCATGTTAAGTAGACATTTTAATATGTGTTTTCATATGATATACGCTAATATAACGGTGGTAGGGCCACGCAGCAGCCTCGGCTGTTGCACGAATGGGCAGGCCCGTCCGGGTAAGTACCACGACCTCACAGAAGGCCGGCGTAAAGTGGAAGTATGACAAATACTTTCGCGTTTCGTCTGGTGAGTGAGGTGACCGGAGCCCATTTTCAAAAGGTTGTCAACGCATCTGTAACCCTCGGGTGTAGCAGATGTCTATGGGCGGCGGTATTCACTTAACAACAGGTGAACCGTCTGCTCGTTTGACAACTTTTCAATAATATACACATAATATACGCTTGCACAAATGGTTCACGCTCGTCTGGGGAAGTACCTCACAGGGGCCTCACAGAAGACTGAAGTATTATTACTTTTTGTTTTGTCTGGTGTAAGTAATCGCTACAGCACATCTGCTACTCAAAAGGTGGTGACCATGGGCGGCGGTAACCAATTACTTCACACAAGGCGAACGGCCTACTATCTTGCCAACTTTTACAATGAAAAAAATATGTAAGTGTGAAAACTCAATTCAACAGTATAAAAAGTAGTGTTTAAATGCATTACAAACTGGTTCATCAAAAGGCACAAGCATCGTCTTAAAACCGTTTTTATTAAAAAAAATACCTCGACAATATTATTTATTTGTTTTTGTTTAAAAATATGACATTATTACATCCTTTTTATTTAGAGCTGTGATAGCTCAGTGTCCGGGCGCTCGCCTTTAATTCAATATACTCGAGCAACCTGAGTTCCATCCCCGGTGCCGGCACCAATGAAGTTTTTAACTTTAAGTGCTGTCTTAATTACGTGCTCCGCGGTGAAAGAAAACATCGTGAGGAAACCTGCATATTTTCGAAATAATAACAAAAAAATATATACTTCGAACATATGTGAAGTCCGCCAATCCGCAGTGGGGCCGCATGGTGGACAATGCCCTGATACCCTCTATACAGAGGAGGCCTTTGTCCAGCAGTGGGACATGTATAAGCTGTTACTTTACTTTTTTTTTATTTACTTGTTGGAAAGTTTTAGCGTTTGTCTTTCCGTCCGAAGTACCCACGTCTTACAGAAAAGAGTGAATAGGTTTTTACTGAGCAACTGCATTTACTATATATCGTTGATATCTTATATACCACGGGATACTAGAGAAAGTAGTGCCAGGGGTCGAAGCAAGCTTAGTTCACTGCAAATAAAAACAAAGGACGGGAGGACGAGCGAAGCGGAAAATAGAATAAAGGAGAACGTTTTCAACGGAGAGTTCATCGCTCAGGGACACTCGATCGCAATCCGATACGCTGCTACGAGTACTTTAAAAACGTTTTGGGCTTTTAGATTATTTCGAACCTTAAAAACCGTTATAAAAAAATCATCAATCAGTTCAAATAGACTGTAGTAGGGTCACGCAACAGTGTTCCCTGTTGCACGGATGGGCAGGTCCGACAGGGTAATTACCACGA